AACGGAAGCTCCTAAGTACAAAGCTATGAGTGCATACGTTGGAGCAGTTAATATGGACTCTACCAACAAGGCGCCTATTCAACGTGATTCCTACGGCAAACCATTAATAAATAATCCTGTAGTCACAGACCCTATGACAAAAAATTGTACCTATGATTTAAAGGCTTTTTTCGAAGATGGTACTTTAATTTGTGAAAATCCTCAGAAAACTAAAGATTTTGAGTGATACCGTAATTTTTAATAGATTTGAGTTATATGTAGTAGAATTGATGAGATTTCGTCTCATTTTTGTTATTACTACTCGTATAAAAACTCGTATTAATAAACAAAACATCTAAAAGTGTTTTATGCAAATATCACCCTAATTAGATTATTAAAGTTCTTACAACTTAAAAGTACTTGTTATTTTAATTTTGACACAAAAACAGATTCACAAACAAAACAGATACAGAGTCCTATAGAGAGATGCCTGGTGCCTACCTTACTTCCACATAAATACGTAAATATTTCCACTCTTTCTGATTCGCATTGTGTTAATTTGGGCTTAATCTGGATACAAATAACCAAAATAACTTATGGCATGCGATGAATTACGAGAGCATGACTGAACAAACAATTAGGTAACCTCATTGATACGGGCAAATCCGTAAATAATATCGCTCTATGCCTCTATAAGCTGCCGAAAATATATTATTCAGAATGTACAAAATAAAAGTGCTTAGACATACCCTCCAAGTACATTATAGTTTCTGCAGGCCGTTGATCAAAATTTTTAACTTTTATACATCGAGATCAACTCTTTTTTTTTTCATTTATCTCCACATCCATAAAGAACCTGTTGTTGCGGCTACAGCGTACAAGGCGTAAGATGCTCCACAGTATCGTGAAGTACGCTAAACGGTTTTACACTAATGTTTGCATAATTATATAATATTATATATGTAATAAAATGGAATGACGACTAATGGAATGATAAACATAACCATAACATTTCAGTATTGAAAAAAATTAAAACATCAAATTGATTATTAATATTCTAAATGTTATGTCTATTTGCAGCTGCAGTCAACAAAGAGTGACGCTACAGTCTTTATCTCATCAAGGAAAAGGGTCAAAATATCCCCAGTCACTTTATACTACCTTATAATAAATAGTTTTTGTATATAAATACTATGGTAGGCTTTTGCTTAAAGTACATTATCCAACCTCATTGTGCCCCAGTAAAAACAAAAGGCAATATTGAAATGCCTATGATATGGAAAAAGAAAACAATCTACAATTACCACATTTAATATAAAGAAAATTCCGAGAATGTTTCGTTTACTCCGGGACTGGGGCAAATTGCTATGGGCCGTGGTCCTTCTTCTTTGTACTTAATGGCTTTCTAAGACATCTTCAAAAAGATTAGTATATTATTATTATATATAACTGGGAGTCCAATGGTATGTCTACAAATAACACAACTACGTAATTAGCTACCAATAATATTTAGAACTTAGTGTGAATATTGAAGAAATGTACGGTTTTGTACTTATGTAGACCCTGAAAGTTGGGCACGCGTCCCTTTCAAACCGGTGAATTGCGTTATCAAATGCTTTGTATAAAGAAACTTAAACGTAAACTTAAACGTAAATTCAAACATGAGTGATGTTTGAATTTACTCCTTCTTAGAAAGGCAATATATAACCATATTCGCTTTTGTTGTAAAGGGTTTTGTAAAAAGTGCGTTTAATTTTTTTTTAATGACAACCCGTGTTACTGAACTACTATGTAGTTGAGTGGTGGAAAGAACCTTTAGTACCAAGTAGTAATTTTTACCAAAGGCTCTTAATTAAATAAGAAACAAATAACGACAGAACTCAATGTCCTTTACCAATGCGTTTTTTGCCTTTTGCCAACCAATGTTTTTAAAAACATTTAAATTCCAAAATACGGACTTAAGGTCCTTTACTCTCACCTACTGAATTTTTCTTTAAATAAATATTAAACAAATGGCGAAATATTTTTTTTCCTTTCCATAACAAAACAATCTGCGGATATTTGCAGGGACAGTAGGGACGTTTTATCACAAATTTTTTGATTAATATCAAAGTACAATACACAAAGATCGACATACCCTGTGACTTTTCAGACATGTCGTTTTAACATCCAAGAATAACCTACCATAACAATAAAAGAAGTATAAAAAGAATATAAAGTTCCTCAAAAACCCAATATGTATATAATAAACTGTGTGAGTGTACTTTTAAGAATATACGTGAAAACCCTAAGAAAAGAAATTTTTCACGAATATCATATAATAAAAATGTTGAGGAGCTTTTCTTGTATTTTGGTTCTACAAATACTTTTACATGCTTCCACGTACCACTTCTTCGAAGTTATTCTCATTCTTTTGCATCAACGTCTATTTCGTTTCAAAACCTATTTGTATATTTCCATGAATTTATAAAACTGTCTATCTATCTAACTCAAAAGATCCACCTCATCATGAATAATTATTGTAAAAATTACTTTATCTACCCATAAACATCACTGTCGGACACCAAAATAACAATGACTCGTAACCACATTACCAAAAAAAGCAACGTATGAAATTCTTCCAAGTAGTTGCCTCTTCACTGCTGATACGACTATAGAAAATTTAAATCAGTATGTAAAGTCTCATATGACTATTACAGACAAATAACCGATAAAACTGACAGGACAATTATAAGCGCATCTATAAGTACGAGCAGTACTGTCAGAGAGAACACTACCAACTTATCTATACAGTCGATACGAAACTTATCAACCGCAGTTAAAAGCAAAATGAATGGATTGAAAATTATTCACCTTCAAAGGTAAGTTTATCGGAGTGTACCAAGGCCGCAGGTGGCAATAGGGGCTGTCAAGTACAGGCGGCGACCACAGCTCTCTATGTCGGTCAGTCTTTAAAATGTTACGTAAGGAGAACTCTCTCGAATGACGGTCTACAATATCTACGCTTGATCACAAATTAAAATTAATGAAAAAATGTTACGGTAAGCTGAATAAATAGTACTTAAATATTTTAGGTTTCAATGGCTTAAAAGAAAAATACAAGGCCACTTGAGACTGCAATTGTTAACTGACCGTGGAATACATTGTAATATATAATATATATGTGTATAACATCGAGACATGTGTTTAAGTATAGAGGAGAAAAAAAACTGTACGTCCGTGTATTGCAGTACTTATAGTAGCCTACTGGTGCTTTCAAAGTGCATAGGATTTGTGGACTAAGTAGCTCTATTACTAGTAGAGCTTCTTGTGACAGAGTTTATCCAGTGTAGTACAACCGCCTTATTTATTCCTGCCTCCGAGAAATTACGTGAGCATGACAATGCTCACGCAATAGCGTTCCTGATGATAAGTTACACGCCTGTCTAAAATTTTCTAAATTGTTCCCACCGGGAATCGAACTTGAAACCTCCGCATCCAGCGCCCGCAGTGCAAACCGTTCATCAAAGTGAACTTGTCTAGATTAGCTCTGGTCTGTGTGTTCTAGATAAAGCCACGGCGTTCCGTTGTTCTGGTACTCATAATACTAAAAATAGGATAGTAGCAGAAGAGCTCCTTGTGAAAGAGTTCGTCCAGGGAAGTACCTTACCTATTTCTGCCGCCAAGCAGTAATGCTCACATTCCTGCAAGGGTAAGGGTGCTGATGACATTACAGGCACATGGGACTTGCCTACTTGTGTCTCAGGGTGACGGACACAATGACAGTGTACCTAAGATCTTTGCGATTAACAGCTCTCAAGTGGCACTGAAATTGTTATGGATAGGCGTGTCGCTTACTACCAGGCGCACGACTCGTTCGTCCCATCCCAATCGGTATTATTAAAAAATCTTAGTTTAAGACAATTGATCCAACGGCCTGCCACATTATTATTATTGTTACGAATATTAGTTTTAGATTTTCGCCTCTCTCATGGTCCAATCAAAAAATTTTGTGGGATGGGCCGTACTCTAAATGGCATATTCAGCCGAGGTCAATTGGTCGATTATAATTATTATTCTCCTACTTGTCTACTCTAAGCTATGGTCTAGTCTGTTTAAACTACCGCCTCGCAAGCACAATCTAGTCTCGCACTTCTGAGTTCCTCGGATTTTACGCGCGAAATTTTATTTTAAATTTACCATGCACGTTTCGGTAAAAGAAAACATCATGATGAAACCTGCACGTCGAAGAAGGTTCACAATCCTCGGAAACGTGTGAAGTCCCCAACTCGCAATAAACTAGCATGGCGGACTAGGGTCTAATCTAAACCCTCGCCCGAGGGGGACCTGTGCCCAGCAGTGGAACGTATAAATGGGTTGATGATGATGATGATGATGATGATGACTTATCTCCTCAAAGAAAACAAAAGGTTTTTCTAAAAACTTATAATAGGTGTAAGTAATTATTAATATAAAGATCGGACACTAAAAATTCCTTCAATCCGGCTAGATTCTAACCAGCGTCTTTTCAGCATACCAGGCCGACGCGCTCCCAACTGAGGTACGGAACGAACCAGCAGTCCTTACGAATTTTTCAGTGTTTATTGCAGATTTTTGTTTTTGGTTTTTATCGACTTTTTTGCCGTAGCGCCGTCTGTAAGAAATCCATGAAGGCTTTTTTGCTGAAGACGCTGATTCGAATTCACCCGGATCGAAGAAATTTTTCTGTGTTCGATCTTTGTATTAATTATAACAAACTAGCGGAGTAAATCCACAAAATAATAAATGAATATTATGGTACTAATACATTGTGACATTCAATAAACTTCATATTACAAGTTTATGTCCACATTTTTTGTAAATTGATTTTCTTTCAAGATTACTAAGTTTGACATGTTAGAGACGTGACGTGTTAGAGACAAGGATTCAGATCACGCGTGTTCAATGACAGAACGTCCGAGTGACGACATCTCGAGTTGCACCACCTGTGGGGCCACAGCGTAGTATAAAACATCCTACTCGACTCAAAATTAGTACAAGTCCTGAGGTTGCAGCAGAACCAACAACTGAAATCTACAAAATGATGAAGATTGTGAGTATTAATAAGATAAATTAGTTATATTAATAATATTTTTAATTTATGAAACTTGAATATTTTGAATAGATAAAGAAAGAGTGAAATTATTGAACTTTGTACAGTTAAAGAAAAATAAACATTATACAACTTATTTTAAACACACAAAACCAACCGCAAACTATCATCGTATATACAACATCATTCCCGTGTATATGTGTTATTATATTTTAATTATCATTTCAAATTAAAATGTACTATAATTTAAAAAGGCAACTGAATTAATTATAGTAAAAACAGTGAAAACCCAGCACAGTAATAAATTATTACATTAATTATGTCTTTTTTTTTATAATATCAAGCTACACGCCTGTCCATAATGGTTGCAGTGCCACTCGCTTTTAATCGCAAAGATCTGAGTGGCACTGCGACTGCGCCCGTCACCCTGAGACATAAGTTGACAAGTCCCGTGTGCCTGTAATTTCACCAAGACCCTTAACCTTTCAAAACCTAAACGGAGTAGTAATGGTAAAATTACTGCTTGGCGATAGAAATAGGTAAGGTGGCAGTACTTCCCTGGACGAACTCTTACATGAGGAGCTCTACTATAAATCCTGTCTATAATATATTTTTCACTAAATTGAATAAAATAATATAATATGTCCTTCCTTTACAGTGCGTGATCATCTCCGCGCTGATGGCTGTTATTGCTGCAAAGCCCTCGGTAGCAGTTAGCGCGCCCTTAATCGCGGCAGCACCAGCACCTATTGTCGCGGCTCCAGCGCCAGTAGTCACAGCCACCAGCTCACAATATTACCACCGCATCAACAATGGCCTCGCCTACGTAGCTGCCCCATACGTAGCTGCTGCACCATATGTAGCCGCTGCTCCATATGCAGCAGCTGCCCCTTACGTTGCCGCCTCTCCCTATGTGGCCGCAGCCGCCCCTTATGTTGCTGCTCCCGCTGCTCGTATTGTTGCCATTTGAAGATGTGATATTATGAATAAGGGCTTTTCTCCAAAGCCGCAATTTTCAGTGTCCATACCACTAAACTTCACTTATTTATCCAAACAAAAATCTACAAAAAAAAGAGTATATATAGGTCGAAAGCTAACTGGAGAGCACAAAATTTTCCCAATAAACCTTTCGGAGGTAATATAAATAGGTAAGAGGGAAAATATCCGATAGGTCTAAAACCTGACAATGGTGGCGTGTCCCGAATGCAGAATCCCACACAAAGTGTCATTTTTCTCAAAATTGAAACCGTATATCAATATTAGACTTTAGTTCACGTATAATATATTAGATGACAGTACTTTTAATCTGAATTTCACAATAAACAGAAATGAAGCATTTTATAAGCTTCGGAATACGTTCCTATTGTTCATCCATCACGCCTCTGCGGTTGGAAAGAATAGGTGGACGATTTGTTGCCGATTTTAGGACTTTTTGCGTGTAAATACGTAACTCGGTGGATTTGGTCCAGGTAGATTTTTGAATTCGGTGTATGTGATATTTCATAAAGTAAATTTATGGTTGTATGTAGTATTTTTTACACTATGTGTTGTAACGACTAAAATATAATAACAATTTATAGGTTTTACATGTATTGTCGTTTACGAGTAACATCAAAAATATGTATATTTTCTGAATCCCGTGGCCTTGGATTCGGTGGATTTTATGCCATCGAACTCAAAAAAGCTTCCTGCCATCGAAGCCATATTTTTTTTGGAAAGCAAGATTTTATACGTTTTATCATATAAACGTTTAATGAATACTGTTGATTTTCACAATTTTATATTACTACTTGATTCCCACTGAAAATTAATAAGGAATATCAAAACAGAAACCAAAAATTGGAAATTAAAAAGATAAAGGAACATGCTAGAAAAGCAAAGATAAAAAGCGATAACATTATATATGAAAGGTTTAAAGAAAAAGTTAGACAGAGGTATACGAAGAAAAAGCGGAAGGAGAGATTTTAAAACTGCATGAATTACCTCGTCATGTACAAAAAGTAATGAAAGATATTAATCGCGCAAGTTTCCAAAAAATTATTGCTTTTGTAGTTACAGACTAAGTTGTAATTTTTTTATTAAAAAAAGACGCACGGAAATACTTTGTGTGATTGAAAAAAGGCTGAACGGCCAAACTGTAAACTGATTTTAATTAATAGTCATAAGATGAAATTTGTTGGCGTTATTCTGGTCCATTTATAAATAAATTTTAGTTTTTAAGGCCTGTTTTAATACTTAGTAAATCATCATATAAGTAAATGTTTATGTCGATTATTGAATGTTTTTATTGCCTTTTTCATAATATTTTATACAAAAATTACGTCTTTTGTCAAGAAGTCCTGATTTCGGTGGTAACTGAATTCGGTGGATATGTCATTAAGTATTAAGAATCTAGTTGTCCAATTGACGGAATCTTATGTAAGTTTGAGTTCATTTCCCTTCCCGCACAATGTTTTTCCTGAAATTAAGAAAAAAAAAAGTAAAGTAAATTAAAAAGTTCGACCACTGAAGTCAGAGAATTTAGCACTTCTAGGAGAAATGCCTATACATTATTTTCAGTTCTGTAACTTTCAGTGCATTATTAATTTAACTTTACGATACTATTTATTTATTGCGTAATTTCGTTGATAATACTAGCTCTATTTACTTGTGTAGCAACTTAACAACAACTGTACAAAATCGACACAGTACACCGACCCTGTTTATTTAGGTACGATGTCGAGACATATTCACAATTTGAAGTAAACATCATAATGTAATGGATATAATTTTTAATATGGTTGCATAACCTTGAAATTACGAGTGTACGTTACGTAGATTACGTTGTCATTAATTTTCATATAGTTAACAAAAGCGGATTGCTTGATTTGTGATCATCAATAATTTCGAGTTATTTTTAATTAAAATTAACCGACAACCAATAGCAATCAATGTTGTCTTATTTTGCTAAAACATGTAATGATTCAATTATGCTTTCATTGTCTATTTTCTTGAAAGATCATATATGTACAAAAAGATTATAATAATAATTAATTTAAAAAATCATTTTAATTTTTCAATTGAAATTATTTTCTTAAGAACAGAACGTTACATTATTTGACGTTGTTTTTTCGTTCATATTCACATTTAAATATGGAATATTCTTATTTTTCTCAGGATATGTTTGACCTTTTTTTTATATGTTTGACCTGCCTCAGAGGCCATACGGTTACCACGCTGATCTGTTACGCAGAGGTGCCAGGTTCGATTTCCGAGCCGGGATTAATATTTATATGACCTACATTTATTTCTCTCGTGAGTTTAGGTGTAATTTGTGGTTGCCTATGTGTGTATCCATCACACCCGCGATACAGGGTTTCCTTAATCTGCACTAAAGCTGTGGTGCTCTGGAATGCTTTCTATAGAATTTTATTCTTATATCGTCTGTGGTTGCAATATAGTGACCACATACCGCTAGGAATAGAAATAAATAAATACTAATCTAGGAATTAATGATGACTATGAATTCACCAAAAATTTACATTTGCCTGGGTGACGCATGTGTAGGAGTCAACCGATAACCGGTAACCAGTTTTTTAGTAACCGTCCGGACCAGACCGTGCGTTACTGTCATGGTTATGTCCTTGAACACCAACCCTCAAACCAGACAGATAACTAGATTGGTTTACTTCAGCTACTTTCACAGTCTAATGACATACCGCATTTTGGCTTTGGGGTAATGCCGCCTATATCAATAGAATCTTTGTCATGCAGAAACGTGCGATTAGGGCAATTTACAATCTGAGCCCCAAAGTATTTTTGAGAGATATGTTTAAGGAAACTAACATTCTTACACTAGCGTCACAGTACATTTATGAAAATGTAATTTAAGTTAAGAGGAATAGTAATTTCTTTATGAAAAGTACTGACAGACATAACATTAATACGAGGAATAAAAGTAAACTAGCTGTTCTAGATAGTCGTCTTCACAAAGTCACAAATCATTTAAGGGGCCATGTACACGCTTTTATAACAAGATTCCTTGTTATAAAAGCTTGTTGACATACAAAATTTGCCATTCACGAGGTTTAAAACTGTAGTGAAACAAAAACTTTATACTAAAGGTTATTATACAATTTCTGCGTAACTCAATCTCTGATGTTTAAAAGCAAAAAATAATAATATTGTAAAAGTTGAATGTGTACAAATATTATTTACAAAGAGCAACCCCTCAAGTTTCTTGCTCACTATTATCAATCTAATCTAATCTCACTATTTTCAATCTAAGAGAATCTGCCTTACGAATGAGCGACAGAGTTTAACCGATGTAACAATTTCAAGTGTAATAATGCTTACCTATGAAATGAAGATTGTTTTGATGTTGATTTTTTTAATATATTTAGAGTGCTGGCAGTTGCCATTTATCCACCAACCCGCCATAGCCTGCGCTATTATTAATATTATTTGTTTCCTACAAAATTCTGTTAAGCAAATATGTTTTAAATAAAAATTGCTTTTGTTTTGGTTGATGAAAATATAATTAATGTATAATTTTTATTTTTTAATTAAAGGATGGCCTCAATTTGGTCATGGTAAGTTCGCCTTGGTCGGCCCTTACCAATTTGCCCACTCACCCTCGCCTTATAAATATATTCCGTCAATCTTCTTTCATTCATTCTCTTTCAAACAATCTAAGCATCCCTTTCTCTATCTTTGTTACTGTATATATTCTTCCACGTCGCAACGCTCTCTTATTACATTGTTCCGTAACTTATCCCTGATTGTACTTCTCAAAACTCTCATTTCTATTGCATTAATTATATTTTCGAGCTTTTTCTGCCAAACCCAATATTCACTATCATACATAAGTGTAGGAACCAGCAGCCCCTCATACACAGTCAGTCGTCCCTGTTTACACACTTTCCGGCTTCTCATGAAGGCATTCAACGCTCTATTCACCTGGTTCCCTATGTTCACTCTCCTTTCAATTTCACTTTCTTTCACTTTCAATTGGAATTAGGGTATATAGGTACGAATTGCAACAGAAAATAGACAAGCACACTTTATTTTCTTTTAAATATAAAGTTGATTGTTAACGTCTTCAGTATTTACTATAATGAAGACATCTCCCAAATAAAAAATACTGAAGGTAACATTTAGTATGTAAGACAAATTTGACCCAATACGGAAAACTGAAAAATAAAACAATGTCATTAGTGTTTCCTAACCAGTGTTTATCTCCACAATGCCTTAAAACGAAATTGCTACTACAATACTTTCAGGCGTTTCTTAATTTGCCAAGTAAAGTGAAAATTCAAAACGCAGCAGAAGATACTCTATGTATCTTTATACCCTAGCTTGTTTATTATTTATTACCACAAGTAAAGGGTTTTAAACTAACAAATGATTGCAATTTTAGTTAATCCCATTGCTTCCTTAACTACACTTACTCAGATTACAGTGTCCATAAAAACAATTGTTAGTTATGGTCATAATGCTCTACCATCATCGTTTTGGAGCTAACGTAAATTGTTCTATTCTGAGTCTCTTATATTACGGGCTGTAAAAAGAATATTCTTATAATAGAATTATAAAAATAACAAAACGTTGCCACTTAATCCAGATTAGCTTATCATATTTTATTTAATGTACTTCTACGAGGCTAGTTGTTAATAATGATTTGTGGTAAAACTCTTATTTGCAATATTTTATTATTTAAATTAAAATTTCTCTGGTAGGCACGTGTCGTGGGATTGTTTGTAAGCTATGGAACTTGGCGGAGAACACGTGACCACGTTCAGTCTCCGTTACGCAAAAGAGGATTTTTGTAGAAAAGGGCCTTTAATGTCCCTTGCTTTAAGCAATAGTTGTTGCCATTGCTCATTATCGCTCGTCACTTTCCAAATAGCCCAGTGCGTCCATTACTATTCCTGCGCCGTATTTTCAATACGATTTTTGTAGCCATCAAGGTCCGCGTCCTTACCCATTGATCAATTAGGTATTCCGCGACACCACCATTGCCTCACCACAATGCAAAATTTGTACACCTAATATAAAAGAGAGGATTTTTCTAGTGCGCGCATTGTACATATTAGCGGCCATGCGAAGGGAGTCCTTTGCCATGATTCGAACGGTAATAACAGATACTGAAATTAGAATAAATAATCACCATAATTCCTGATTTGAAACGTTAAGCACTAAATTTAAATTTGGTTTACAGGTTTCAGTGTTATCAATCTTATGTGGACTGAGCCATAGTTCGGGTGTGGGACACTTGACCTCATTGGGCGCAGTAGCACCTATCGCTCAGGTAGCTCAAGTGGTTCCTTCTCCGGTCGTCACCGCCCAGAGTTCTCAGTACTTTGAAAGGACTTTCAACCGTCTTATCGTCCCACCACCAGTGTTTGAACCTGTACCCTTCTCTCAATTTCCTGTGCATATTACTCCTGTACCATCTGTGATACGTGTAGCAGCTGCTCCTCCAGTGATACAAGTTGCACAAGTACCACCAGTAGCAGTTGAACCTGTGACGAAAACGGTGAAAGCTCCATCTGTACCGCCAATTAACAATGTGCCAGAGGAACCCAATGTTGCCATCGCCGTAGCTACCGCCCACGCTGCAGCTCCTATCGCTACAATTTTACTTCCTCCGTATACGTTTGTACCACCACACACTATAGGATTTATTCCTCCAGTGCCGCCGATAAACGTACCTGATGAAGACAGGAAGGAATTTACGACACAATCTACTACTAGTGTAACTCAAACCATTCCAAGAGAACCGGAACCAACTACGCCTATACCACTACCTTCAAATACAGCTAATAGTTTTGCACTAGCACAATCATCTAATCAAAATGTAAATTTCAACCAAGTGTACGGACCACCACCGCGACAACCGCAAGCTACGCCTCAAAAATTAAAAACAACTGTAGAAGTGGTACCAGTGCCTTTGAAGTACATATCGCCTCCTCCTATACTGGCCCACTTTCACCACCACCACCATCATCACCATCCTCCCCATGGGCATCAGCGCGCACAGGTCCATACTTTCATACCAGCTCCAGATAAGCTAATTGTACGACCAGTGAGATGGCGTAAAATGAGAGTTCCAATTAGACTGGTGAAGTATACAAGACCTCTTCCAGCAAGGATCATAGCTCGTAGTGGTGTGATCAGAGCACGAGAAGCGGAACCTACTACCTTTAATCCTTTTAATAAGCCTGTTACAAAACCCCCACGGGTATGAAAATTCTTGCTTTCAGTCTAGGTTTATTTGAAAGATTAAAGTATTATAAGTAGGACGCTTTAACAGGAATTATTATAGACATAATTTCACACTTGTTATCGAGTAGCACTGCACTTAAATATAGTGATGTAAATACACGTATTTATAATTTTTCAAAAAAAGACTATTTATTGATGAATCCATATCTTGTAGGTCAAACTTTACTAATTTACTTTAAAATTCAAATAGAAAATTACTAATTTAATTGTGTATTTGATTTTTACTATGCACTACTTAAAACACAAAGAAACATTAGGTTGTTTGTTTTTATATCAAATTACAAAAAAAATATGACCCAGTTCTTTCGCTTCTGTTTCGTTTGATGTGAATGTTTAAAAAAAATACGTTTACCTTGTACGGTAGGTACTGCTTGAATTTAACCATATTTCAAGTCACTTTCGGTCATGCAATGATGTACTTCTAACTAAATTGAGATTGAAAACAAGATGAACAGGGTAATAACTTTTTATAGTCGAGATTTTAGAGATAATTTACAATATGCAATTGCGCAAATAACCACACTTATAACTTTATATTGTGACTCTAAACTATGACAGTTGTCTTTTTTGTAATTGAATATTACAAAATATTATAAAATTCAGTAATCAAAATTTACAGACATCTAATAATTCACTAAGTCTGGCGTCAAGTACGTATGCCACTAGGTTCCAAATAATATCCCATACTTTCTAAAATGATGGAGTCGCAAAATTTAAATTAATTTTTAAGTTTGTTTTGATAGCTATAGATATAGCATATAGGTATGGCACGAATGTAGCAAAGGAGGCCACAGTCTGCCTATGTGTGTTTGTATGAACTTATGTATATTACGTTGTGTCGAATTATCTTTCGAATATTCATGTACCGGACAAAAGACGTAAACAGTAGCGCACCAAGAAATTAGCCCATAGAAGATTTTTTACTTTTTATTGAAAATATAACAATATTTATTATAACAAATTATATATCGAGTTCTTAGGTTATCGCGATTGTTACACATAGGAAATGAAACTATTTTTCCGAATTTAAATCGCGTATATTTGTTTTTTTTCAAACAATCCAACGTTTCGGACACTTTAGAAGTGGTCACAGATCACCTGCGGGGCCGGAATTGTTTTTTCTATCTATAAAGTCAGTGACGAGATGAACAAATCGTGTGCCTGGTGGTAAGCGACACGCCTGTCCATAGCAGTGTGCAAATGCATTCTGCATAACTTCGATATTTTTCAGTAAGACCCTGTTGTCGATGTTATACAATGTTAATTTAACAATCTTACTTTTTTTTTTTTTTAATATATAATAGACACTCGCTTGGCCACAATCTCACCTGATGTTAAGCGACGATGTGACCGACGATGGGACGCGTTTGCCTAAAAAATGCCTATTCACTCTAGCCTTGAATAGCCCCAAATTGTACTTTTCGGGAAATACAGATGCCGGTAGAGCATTCCATTCCTTTGCCGTACGCATCAGAAAGGAGGAGGCAAAGCGCTTAGTGCGAATAGGTGGAATATCAACGACATAAGAATGGAGTGCTCCGGACCTTCTAGTCGACCGAAGGAGGAACGGTGAGGGCGGAACCAAATTGAAAAGTTCCTGCGCACACTCCCCGAAATGTATCCGATAGAAAACCGACAAGCAGGCTACTTTTCTGCGATGATCGAGATTTTGGAGCTTCGACTCCACAAGAGGATTATTGTTAATAAGTCTCTTTGCTTTACGCTCCACCGAGTCCAAGGCAGCTAACTGGTATTGGGCAGAGCCGTCCCAAAGGTGGCAGCAGTACTCCATACAGGATCGAACTTGTGCTTTATACAGATTTAAAAGCTGTTCAGGTGTGAAGTACCGCCTGACCTTGAAAAGTATGCCTAGTTTTCTGGCAGCAGTTTTTGCCAAGCACTCGATGTATCGCCCAAAGTTGAGGTTGGATGATAAGTCCAGACCAAGTAGCTCAAGGTGGTCCCTTATCGGCACGGATACACCTCGGAAAGTCGGAGTAAGGTGTAGGGGACTTTTTTAATCATATCAAGTGACGGGACGAAGTTACAAACAAGTTGTGTGCCTGGTGGTAAGCGACACGCCTGCCCATAGTAGTTGCAGTGCCACTCAGAGGTTTAAATCGCAAAAATCTGAGGGGCACTACCACCGCCCCGTTACTGAGATGTAAGTTGACAAGCCTCATGTGCCTGTAATTTCACCAGCAATCTCCTTTCAAAATCGAGACGCAGTAATGCTCACATTACTGCTTGGCGGCAGAAATAGGTAAGGTGGCAGTACTTCCCTGTACGAACTCTAACTCAATGAGCTCTACCACTAAACTCATTTTTCGTTTATTCAGCTAACTGTAAAACTAACGCGTAAATGGTTCGGCAACATTGTCAAACGATTAATTTGACACGTGATATTCACAAGGGACCGAAGGCGGCTATAGTTTGAGTGTTAAAAAGGTTTTAAAGTTGAACATTGCTTTTCATTTCGACTTTCAGCAAAAATCTATACTTTGGAAACAAAATTTTCGAAGGACTGCTTTACGTCACAGTAGTTTGCTATTTTTTATTAATTTATATTCATATGAAGAAGACAAACTCCAAGGACTTTATGGTATTTTATCAAGCAATGCCTTCTTAATGAAAATTTTGTACGATATCTAGTTTTTTAATAATGTGTGTCAATAGTTGTTCAAATTACTTTCATAGTTTTAGTAAGTAAAAACACTTGAGCACCTAGAAACTACCACTATTTACCATTTCAATTCGCAGTATAGGACTAACTACGAGCGTGAGAAATAAAAAGAGTATGAGCCAGTACGTATAATATGAAATCTCTATTTCACACGCGTTTCCCTCTTGTGAATTCATTTTTTAAATTACGTGAAAACGTGCGACGCTCAATATTTTGAAGCAACTAAACCAGTAATGTCAGCATTACCGTGTTCCGGTTTTAAAGGGTAAGGGTGCTGGTAAAATTGCAGGCACATGGGACTTCTCAACTTCTCAGGGTGACGGGCGCAGTGGCAGTACCTCTCAGATCTTTGAGATTTAAAGCTCTGAGTGGCACTGCCACTGTTATGGACAAGCGTGTATCTTACCATCATGCGCACGACTTCTTTGTCCCGTCTCTTTACACTATTATAAAGAAAATAATATTTTTGTGAAATTACTCCACTACTTTCATGTAATTATTAATACAAAGATCAATCACAAAGAAAAAAATCTTCGATGCTGCTGCGCTCGAACCAGTGCCATATCGTGGTTGACCGTGACATGTGCACACAACAATGAATGTTCTCTGTATCAGTAGGGCCGAACTTTTAGCTGTTTTTTAACAATTTTTTTTCGTGTACATTATGGCTATTAGAGATTGGCTTCATAATAATTGAGGTAAGTCTGAGTTGAAGTCATGTTTTCTTGTGAAAAATTAAGTTAAACTTCGAATAACGATTATGACATAAATCGTCAATTTTGGTTTTTAGTGACTCGGTGCACGTCATGTCAGTTTATGAAGATGTTTCAACAGTTGCAACACTACAATTTTATTTGTAAACAATCCCTACATCTTAAGGTGGTTTTTAAGGTCATTATTGCGAATTCTGATAGTACATTTTTCACATTCAATATTTTATTCGTGAACAAATAAAAAATCTCTTAAATGTCGAAAATAACTGTTCAATCTTAGAACAAACACAAAAATGGCTCATTGCATGCTAGCTACATGATCACGCTACTTCCATACCAAATTTCAATTTATTTAGTAAAATAGTTTTCAAACTAGAGTGGTTTTAGTGACTAGAGTAGAAAATTTTCAAAAAAAATACGTAAAAAATCATAGCTTCTAAACTATTGATTAAAAATAAACAATACTTCAAAAAAAACTGAAGTAATGTTTATTTTAAACGGGTCGTTATAATGTCCTCTACCTAAAAAAAATTTCGGACCACTGCAAATGGCCTAAATCAAATACCTTGAACTGCCAATACTCGTCTAAGTCATTGTAAAAGTAATTTCCATAACAGTAAAATAAATTCTCAAAACCTGGTTTAGATGAGCCAAAGAATCGATTAGATGCAACGAACATACATGTATTACTTTTATTTTTTTTTAAAACCACCTGAAGATTATCTACAATTATCAATTTTAAGAGTAAACTTATTTTTTTGTTGGTATACTGTAAAAAAAAAGTAATTTGAAATAATCCTTTAACGATCTGCTAGAATTTACGCTCTCCGGCATTTCGAAGTTCTGATGATAAAGCTGACTGATTAGTTCAAAATCAAGTACTCTATATCGTTATCAGTCAAGCCAGGCTTCATTGTCGTAACCGTCCTCATTGCGTGCCCAGCGTCCAACGATACGGTGCAACACTGACGAAACGCAGTAGGTACAAGGTGAATCTTCGTCGTATAAAAGGTAATGTCGCATTACTGTTAACATCAATCGCATTTTTTGGTTGACAGAAAAACAACAACAACATGTACAAAATTGTAAGTGTGGCGCAATGAAGCTTCAGCTTCGTAAAAAAATAAACATATATGGCTATCTTAGAAAATCTAATAATAAAGTAATAATTACAGGTGATCTTTTTGGCTACCATCGCTATGGCTTTAGCCAAACCGAGCGTTGCGCCAGCAGCTCTACTAGCGGCGCCTGCTCCCATAGTTGCCGCTCCAGCTCCATTGGTAGCAGCACCTGCGCCCTTTGTCACCGCGTCAAGCTCTCAGTACATTGCCAGACAGTACAACGGCCTCGTAGCTGCTGCCCCAGTAGTAGCCGCCCCAGTAGTTGCTGCACCTGCTCGGTTTGTAGCACCCGCACCTGTAGTGGCCGCTCCTGCTCCAGTGGTAGCCGCGCCAGCTCCATTCGTGGCCCCGGCAGCTAGGATTGTAGCCCCGGCCGCACCTTTCTACACTGCACCAAGTCCGGTCGTACCAACCTTCGCCCGCTACGCTGCACCTTACGTCGCCCCTGCTCCCTACTACGCCCCAACTGCCCCTTTATTTGCTCTTAAGTAAAACATACACCAAGACTGATAACTAAAAATGTTATACCAAATACACTGATTATGTAATAATTTATCACTTTTTAATTATTTACCTACTTTTATATAATTAGTTACCAAAATAGAATGTTACGTTAAATTCTAATTCAGCTACAATTAATATCCTTGGAGAATTATTTTGGCAAACCCATACAAAGAATTACGTATACACAAAATGGTTGTTTGCGCCCAATTTGGAATATGTTTGATAAACTTTCAAGGAAGTCCTTCAGGCCTTGGCAAAAGTACTGTAGGGGTGGAACAAAGCAGACCTTGTTCTGATTACGTATGGAAGCCATAGTGATGTACAAAAGGAACAATTGAAAAGTGGCCTATTTCGGTACAACAATGGTTTACGCAAAACAATACTTTCCAGAAAACATTCCATTGTAATCACTCCATGAGACTGCGCAGCCGCTGCAAAAACAAATGCAACTTGACATGAGAGGATGGAACATTAAAAAGTGTTACAACAACCCTTTGCTTCCCATTCTTGATGTAATATGGCCACATCTCCAAAATACCATCCTTTGAGAAGAGATATTTACAGATTCTACAAACGAAGTTAGTCGACAACTTTTATGATTAAATATGAGAGTTACTAGAGTTACTAAATTGTATACTATAAACTGTAGGTATATTTCATATACCTACAGTTTGGTGCTAGTAGTAGGTATTAATTTCACGACTTTGGTGTGATAAAAGCACTTATGACGTACGATCACATGTGACTATTGTGCCATAGGTAGGGTTTGATTAGAGAACTGTTAAATCTGTAATACATAATGATTGTTTTAAAATTATTTATCATCGAAGTAATGAAAGGCTGATCTTGGATAGACTGAGTCACAAAATACTGGAAGCTGACAGTTTGACTCTCTACTTGAAATCTTGATTAAATAGCTAATCGCCCGATTTTTTAAATGATTAAATTGAATGCATTTTATAATAGCAGTAGAACTAATTGTGAAAGAGTTCGTCCAGGGTAGTACTGCCTACCTTACCTATTTCTGTCGCCAAGTAGTAGTGTGAGCATTACTGCGTTCCGGTTTTGAAGGATACGGGGTACTAGTGAAATTATAGGCACGTGGGACCTGTCAACTTATGTCTCAGGGTGTCGGGCGCAGAGCGCCTCACATTGATTATTATTTGCTTTGTGATTTAGAGCTCTATGGTATTGCAACTGGTACTGCAATCAGGCGCACAACTTGTTCGTCCCGTCACGTAGTTACTGTAAAAAAAAGAATAAGGTTTACAGGACCATAGTTCACCGCCGTAGAATAGCGGCTTACGAGAATTATTTAATTAGGTCTTCATTTAATTAAAACTTAAAACTGTGTCTACTATACATACTAACATAGACTGCCTAACTGCCTCTGTGGCCGAACGGTTACCATGCTGGTCTGCCACGCAGAGATCCCGGGTTCATTTCCCGGGCCGAGAAAAATATTTTTAAGGCCTACATTTATTTCTCTGTAAAGTAATTTGTGGTTGTCTATGCGTGGGTCCACATAGCATCCGCTATACAGGGTTTCTCTAGTATGGGGCTATGAGTGTGTGCGTTATAAAATAAATAAATAATGATAGTAATATAATACTAAAAAAGATTTTATTAACAAAACGTCAGAAATAATTATACAAAGGACATACTATGTTTGAACATTTTTTATAGGCACCACATTAATTTAAAAATATTGTGTAAAATCCATCATCGTGCATCATATTTTGTTTCTTTTACCTATTTCGTAAAATGTACTTCGAGTGACATCTTACACGAAGATAATTTTCCATAATGTGTCGCTAACAGAAACTCTCTTTGAATATAAAATAGGAACTGCATACATAAATTACGTTATTAGCATTCAATCCAAATGTACTACGTACGTTCTTTGCTTAAAATCTAGGGCGTCCTTCGCTGACGAACAAGATCATAAAAAATATTGTGTCATATTTTTTGTTTTTTTTGCTTTGTGGGTTTGGGTCAACATAACGCAACTTTGCAGACTTTGGATACTTAACAGTGACCGCGGCATTTGCCCCCTTTCTTTTGTTTTACTTATCCCATAACATCAATACATTACGTTATCGTATTGTCTATCAATCGATGAAGGACGCCAATTTATTCCACGAAGTTACATTTAGTTACCAAATGCATACTTAATGTTCCCCACAAACCTCTTTATGTTATATAACGTTCCTATGAATGGTGAGTCGTTTGACAGATTCGGTAATCGATGGTGTCGTGCTGCCACCTAATTGCGTATGCACATGTCCTGTCGACAGAAAGTGAAACTGCCACCGACCATACAACACAGTGTATGCTGCAACAGTATGAACTATATAACGACTTGTGCCATATCCTTCAACACACTTCCACAGTCACCCTCGACTAATCAACTTGTCACCAGGGAATCATGTCTCTGATAAGATTAGTGAGTAGCTTTAAATAATTTGCATACATGTTGTCATTAACAATCAACATAAATATTAATAATTAATTAATTTTACAGGTAGTTTTCACGCTCACTCTCATAGCTATTTGCAACGCTAGCGGCATAGGCTTAATAAGAACAGTACCAATAGTGCGATATGCTCCATTTTACAATTTTCCCACTGGAGCGAGATCTATACACGCGGTAGCGCCTGTGGCCGTTGGACATGCATTACCACCACCACCTCCACCACCATCGGCGCTGTTTCCAGCTCCTCTAGCAGCACTAGTTCCTCCACCTGTGTTACCAGCACCTCCACCAGCGGTTGCTCCTGCTCCTGTGTTTCCTGCACCAGCGTTTCCGGTTCCGGTGCTGCCAGCTCCAGCTTACGCTCCAGCACCCGCGCCTGTGTTCGCTGCACCGGCGTTCCCAGCTCCAGTGGTGCCAGCACCAGCTTTCGCTCCAGCACCGGCGCCACTGTTTACACCATTGTTGCCCCGAGTAGCACCAGCTTTACCTGCCTCACCAGTGTTTGCGCGAGCTGTTCCTGCTCTACCGGCAGTGCCATTCTCACCTATCGTCCGACCAGTTGCGCCTGCCGTCGCTCCTGCTCCAGTGTTCGCACCAGCTCCTGTGTTTGCCCCAGCAGTGGCTCCAGCGCTACCAATCACAAGATTCCTTCCATCCCTTCATGTGTTCAACAAAGTGGTATCAACTGCGCCGGCTCCTTTTGTTCCAGCAGCCCCACTTGTAAAACAGTTCGCGTGGAAGTGAATCTAGTCTAGTAGTTATAAATTGTTAGTGACTGTTATAGTTTATATTAAAATTTTGTAAGAATTTTGTAAATATACTTTTTTTCTTGTGATTTATTATTTATTCTATTTAAATAAGTGAACAATTACTTTTAGAGATATATTTAAAATAAATTTTAAAAAAAAACAAATTATAAATCCTTTCCTTAAAAGCCCGTACTAAGACTGATCTAATGAAATACTTTATTAATTCAGTCACAGATCATAATGATAAATTCTATAAAAGTGTTATGTTTGAAGTAATCGATTAGGTTGCTACTAGACGGACTGCATGCGCGAAATTGATGTGTACAACGCATGCAGTCGAAACCAACTGCACACGACACTTACTTCAAGCTGTGATGGCTGCGCACCTATTTCAAGGGCTCAGTGTATATGTCAATGTCGAAATGGAAGATATTACTTGTAGTTTATCACTATATTCAGAACATTTATAATTCCAAAAGTTGACCTTACTTTTTATTAGGAAATAAACAAATAGCTATCGAAATCATCAACTTTAATTTGTCAATAAATTCACATTCGTAATCCCCGATTATACTCATGGGGTGCAATTTGGAATCTGAATTTGCGATCTAAAATGTATGTGCAAATAACATAAATCCGTCGAGACATTTCATTATCAGCATTCGTTGCCTTTACTACTAAAGATCAAGTTGTTTCAGGCACAAAAACATCACCTATTCTCTTAGAAACGGTAAATGCTACTTTTGATTCTCGGACTATCGTTCACATCGACTGCAACTGACGCTAGCAGTTGAACTCTCGACTGCATGCATGGACTACAGATGTGCAGTCCATCTGCTGGCAGCCTTGCATAGAAAATGTTCAACGCTCAAGTTGCTGCAGAAAGACCCTCTTTATAAATAAAGATTACTCTGATTCATCACAACGTGATAATTCTAATTACAAGAAACTGAATTCTTATGTTTTCGCGATTGTTACACATAGGAAAAGAAACTATTTTTCCGGATTTAAATCGCGTATATTTGTTTTTTCAAACAAACCGACGTTTCGGGCCCTTTACAGGTCCCATGGTCACGGTTGACTGAGGTGGTACAGTCTTCAACCAGTTATGTCTAATATTAATGCAAACCACCCTATTTTTTCACTATAGTTACAATAGTTATTAATTTTATGTTTTAGTTTTATGTTTTAGTTCATTCTAATTTCTATTAATAATAAATTAAACTTAATAAAAATTCATTAACTGCCTCCGTGGCCGAACGGTTACCATGCCGGACTGCCACGCAGAGGTCCCAGGTTCGATTCCCGGGCCGGGCGAAATATTTGTATGACCTACATTTATTTCTCTCGTGAGTTTGGATGTAATTTGTGGTTGTCTATGTGTGTGTCCATGGCACCCGCGACACAGGGTTTCCCTAGTGCGGGGGCTATGTTGAGTGTGTGCGTTATTATTATTATTATTATTATTATTATTATTATTCAATAAAATAATTTGTAAAACTTAATGTAGCGTAAATTGGAATGTTTTCTTTGTAAAATTAAAAATAAGGTATTTAATTAATAACTATTGTAACTATAGTGAAAAAATAGGGTGGTTTGCATTAATATTAGACATAACTGGTTGAAGACTGTACCACCTCAGTCAACCGTGACCATGGGACCTGTAAAGGGCCCGAAACGTCGGTTTGTTTGAAAAAACAAATATACGCGATTTATATCCGGAAAAATAGTTTCATTTCCTAAGAAACTAAATTGAAAAAGTAATAAATAATATAGTCATTATGATACCGACCCATAATTAGGGTCATGTTCTTGGTTACGGATCTTTCATATCACGCGCTATTTACGTGAGCTCTAGTTATCAACTTTTGTAAAAGAAAAAGATGAGACACAATAGTTTAATTCCATGGTAATCAGCCCTAAGCTGTTTAAATTTTTCATTAACGGAGTACTGACTGTGGTTTATTTAATTACCAAGCGTGTTATGTGATTGAATTCCATTGACTCTAATATTTTTTGTTAATGGATAAAAGATAGTATCAATTTCGATACAGGTCGTCATTTGAAATCAAATTTCGTAAAAATATAAATTGGACAAAGTTGTGGCGTTTTCTGGAAGCTGAAGGGAAATAAATCAGAACAATATTGTTTAAAAATTTATTAATTTTGATACTTCGATAAAAAAACAACCATAAAGTATGCAACAGTCTTATGAAAAGGAAGGTGTTTGATGTTTTCTTAATGCTATCGGACGAATGCTGGGGCGTATGGCACCGGGAAAGGCGCAGAGGCAGGCAGTGTGTATGGTACCGGTGCAGGATAGAAAGGCGCGGGGCCAGCGATGTATGGAGACGCGGCAAATGGAGCAGCAAAACGGGTAGGAATAGGTGAAGGGAATTGTGCCGCTATTGGTGCCGAGACAGGTACAACTGCTGGTGCAGAGAATGGGGCAGCGACCGGTGATGCAAACGGTACAGGTACTGGAGCCGTGAAGGGTGCAGGTACTGGAGCCGTGAATGGTGCCGGTATTGGGGCGGTAAGGGGAGCTGCAACCGAAGCTGCCACTGGAGCAGCGAAGGTTGCAGCCACTGGTGCCGCAACAGGCGCAGCGAGGTAAGCTGCCCTGTTGACCACGTTGACTTGAGATGCATATGGAGGAATGTTCTGAGGCACAGCATGAGCGTAGCCAACGTGAGCAGGCACTGTTAAGGGAGCCGCTACAGCTGCGGGCACTGCCACTGCACTACATTCTGCACTAATGGCAAAAGCGGCAGCAACAAGGACGATCTGTAAAGATAAAATTAAATATGCATATATCGTCGGTGTTTTGCAGCGCCATTTCGAAAAATTTTTCCGGTTTTTTAATTTTAATTTTTTTTTGTATTAGCTTTTTACGCCTGTTTTCAAATATTTGCGTCCTGTTTTAATTTCAGTTTTAAAACTAAACTTAATTAAAACCAAACTTGAATTTTATTACACTATTTTGATCACTTATTACAATATTTTATTTTTATTAAACATCATCACTCGAACCAGCTTCTGTCGCTTCAACGTGGCTACCCATGTTGAAGCAACAGACGCTAGTTCCAGTTTTTAACTACTTATTGTTAAGCTTTGAACCGTTTTTTGTCATTTTGCGTGTATTTATTTTTTTAAACAAACCAACGTTTTGGGCCCTTTACAGGTTCATGGTCACGGTTGACTCATTTTGAGTTTGAGTCCAGAAAAATGTTTCATTTCCCATGTGTAACAATCGCGAAAACCTAAAGTTGGCGAAATATTATTTGCACCGATTCGTCTTATCGCTTCAACTTTAGAGTACAATAGGGACAAAAGAGTGAACCGTCTCGATAACGCACGTGCCATCTGTAATGCAAACAACTAGTTCAAATACTTTTACGCTTGATAATCTTAACGCGGAAATAACTTATTGAATTAGTAGAAAAGTACCTACTGTTAAAAAAATCGAACTGTTGAGTAAATAAATAATTCAAAACTAGAATTCAGAAAAAGCATTTACCGCACTGATGACTCGTACGATGGACCAAAATCCTTACTTCCTCGTACGCTTTAAGTAAAAGAAGTGATAATGGTTGTACTGCCCTATTGTAGGTAATAGACAGAATAAGCCGTTCCAAGAGATAACATTCATCGGTGCAAATAATATTTCTTCAACTATACTCGTATATTGCCAATTAACTCTCATTACTAAGTGCAAAAAACCATTATTTAAAATTCATTATTCAATAAAGTTATTATTAATAAATGTACAAAAAAAAACTTACAGATTTTAAAGAAAACATCTTGCTAAATTTGGTAGTGAACCTTCCTTATTCGATAGAAGACGAGAAGTGTGTCTGCCAAGAAATAAAGCAAAGGCTTATATAGTTTGTTTATTGAGATTCAAGAAACGTGCGTGTTAGCAACTGTTGGAAGCGTTGCATCGGTCATTGGGGATTCGCGGAGACGTGTGCAGAGAAATGGAGCACATTGAGAAATTTGTGTAACGTGCATTTTGCATTTGCAATAGTCGAATAACAATCCACCAAGTTTACAATCGTCTTTGACAATCATCAATACTTTTTTTGTTAGTCAAGGGATTTGCTTTTGACCACTATCTAGCCCTGCCGCAAGATAGGTGTAGTCTACAATGGAACGATCTCGCCCAGAAGGTGCCTATTCAGTCCTACTTAAGATACTCGGGTTGTATGTGCTCGGAAACACAGTCGCAGGCAGAAAATTCCATTCCTGGGCTGTGGGTATTATAAAAATTACGAAAAGCGTTTAGTACGCCTGAAGGGAATATCGGCCAAGTAAGGATGATATCCCGCCTTACGTCTGGATGTTAATAACTCTTATCGGACGATTTTTTTTTATCTTTAATAACTTGATTCATTTTCATTGATTTGACGTTACTTTTTGAGCTCTGAATAATTCTTCTTGTAGTGTCAATTTTTACTCACTTGGCAATACATGTATTTAAAGTACCTAAATATAACTATTCAGTTTCATTATGCTTGGCAATTCGTTTTCTAGGAAATAAATATATTGTTGCAATATACAAATCATCACACATATGTACCTTACGCATAATAACTTAAATGGTTTGGGAAATCCATTGACTTACAAGTAAAAACCATGCACATAACCATACAGTGTTTTATAAACCCAGATTTAGTGACATGCTCTTTTTTCAAAGTCCAACAGTTTTAACCATCACTGGTATAAAAGTTACGAAATAACGCGGCGGACTATTGAAACATAAAAAAGGTAAAAAATATAAATTATTTATTTTTAAGTTAATCAGGACCATATTGCTCAATTAAAAAAAAATACTTTGAAATTATTTATATTTTTCCAATCTAGTGTTCTACTACTCTCTGAATTTGGAAGAATAAGGGCATGTCATAAAGTTGGGGTTTATAAAACACTGTGGAGCATACGCATCATTTAGTTTTGCATCTTTAACTTTTAGTAAGTGCTTGGTATGGTATGGTATGGTATGGAATGGCAAGGTGTGGTGTAACGGCCTGTTACGCAAATCGACGTCGTAGACACTTGACGTCGATTTGTGAGCATTTAATTAAACAAAATGCTGTATTTATCGGTTAACTTCTTACTCTACATAGTTTAATATACTTATAGAATTTGAAATAAATTTCAATTTCATAATACTTTCAATTTCATTTTATCATAAAAATGTTTCGTTAATTTTTTTATTTGTCACCGATTATTCTTCTTATTAACGTAGCAGTTGCTACGACCACCCGGCGTGAATACAACCTCAGTAATTATTTGTAACGAAAAGCTTGAAAAGAAGAATTAACATTCTTAATTATAATTGTACTAAAATACTAAATAACCAACATTAATTCAATTGAAATCAGATAGGTACACAATTATTTTTGTAGAATGGAACGTAGAAAGTTATACAAAACAAAAACATAATTTTTATGTTGTCTTGAATAAGTGAAGACTAGAAGGTCTTGTTCAGTCACCTATAAACATAATTCCATCGGTTATATAACGTGCGGTGAAATTGATGAATGTGCACAGAGTCCGAATTAGAATGCGCCACAAGTGCGCGGGTCAAAAAATTGCACGCAGCAATGTCTTGTACACACGCATTGCTTAATTCAATTGACAGTAGTATAAAACGTGACGATGCCCAGGAGACGACACAGTCCTCCGGATTAGTTTGCACATACTCTTCGTGAGCAGTCACGTTATTCAAGCAAAATGATCGCCAAGTTCGTTGTAAGTTTCAAGAATTCAATGATAATATTGTTTTATTTAAGTAGTGTACTGCGTGGTAACCACGGGGTTGTTTCTTTTCATTCCTTGTTAAATATGCTACAATTTTCTTTATCTAATTTATAAGTATCTAATAGTCAGCGTTTTAACCATTATAAATGAATAAAAAATAAAAGTTACACAATTATAATTTTCTAGGTCATTCTTGCTCTGGCCGTCGCTGCTAAAGCCGGTGTTTTGCCAGTTGCGGCAGCGCCTGCTGCCCTCGTGGCGCCGGCAGTGGCCCCTATCGCACCTGCAGCGTACGCCGTGGCACCATACGCTAGCTCATACTCGGCACATACCGTGAATCACGCCATAGCTACACCAGTAGTGGCTCCCGCCCCAATCGTTGCTCCTGCACCAGTTGTTGCTCCAGCTCCAGTCGTTGCACCTGCTCCTGTCATAGCTGCAGCTAGACTTGTCGCCCCAGCGCCAGCTGCTCCAATAGTGGCCCCAACTGGTCCCTTTACAGCCCCATACTTCTCATCTCCTTACTACCTATAGACGAATTTGGTGACATCATTGCCTAGTGACTTGCTCAAAAATGATCTTAAAAATAAATTACGTTTGTATATTGGTATTTGTAATCGTTATTTTAATAAATAGAATGTTATAAATAAACAAAATTTTTCGTAGCGTTGTAATTTATTTTTTAACTAAGTGTAGGTATCCGAAGGATTTACTTTTTTCTTGTTCTATTTGTATCCAAGTTTGAGTTAGTTTAAAATTTTATCAGAGGTTTCGATTTTGTGTAACGTGTTGAAAATAGAATACAGTTTTGTTTAACATAAATTAAACACAAATATTACGGTACAAAATTTTGATACACAGAAAAATTTACTTTGTACTACACCGATTGTTCGAATTATTACAGAATTATAAATTAATTACATGATGGAGCCAGAGATTATCTGACTACTACATACTAACTTTAAAGATGAAAACGTGTACATAGATAGATCCGAGATTTTATAAAATAAATAAATAATAAAAATAAAGTTATATCATCAGTAAAAAATCAGTAAAGTAATTGCGCGAGAGCGACATAAAGCGCGATGTACTGCTATTCGTGCATAGAGATCCTGCGCTTTCTATGGCTCTCACGCAAGCCGCGCCCTGTTGTGCTAGCCCTACTAGCAGAATACCCAGACCAGAACCAATTTAGAAAACTTCATTTCGAAAATTAATTTTACAGAAAATGAATTTATTGAACTCGGGACCTCCTCATCTAGCGCCTACAACGCAAACCTTTGGGCCACCGAGGTCGTAAAACTGCATATATAAGCGTAAGCGTATTATTACGAAGTAAACCAATTAATATAGCAAAAATAATTATTTTTTTTATTATTTTTTTATTTATTTATTGTATAAAGGACAAAATACACAAATATGTTTCTAATCGCATTTTAAACCACTAAGGTTTGTCATATTGCGACCTGTATCTACACAATACAAATTTGAACATGCTAGCAGAAGTTTATATTTTATTTATTTCGCACTTATTTTACGCCGTCTGCGTTTATTCAACAGATAACATTCGTGTTTGTCGAATAGCTACGTACATTAATGTGCACTATTATTTAATCATAACTTTTTTAAGAGATAATGTAATTATCTGCAATACTTTAATTGGAAGATTGGTATCTCTATGTAACACTATGAAATAGCATAGTGTCACGCAAGGACCTGTTTTAGTACCACAAGTTGTCGCATGTGTGAAGTGTGTTCTACAAGGACTAACTGTAGTACCTCAATTATACGTTTTGGGTATTCGACATTCCGTTTTTTGCGTTAACTTCACAAATTCCATAAATATTATTGATACTTTTTAAAATTTAGGTTAATAAAGTTGATAAAATTAAGGTTTGTACCGTTTCAATGTTTACGACAATATTAATGTGTGCAAATTGCGTACCCCTAAAATGATAAAGCCAATTAAAATTATCTAGGCCTACGTCTTGTAATATGTGCCATAATACTTCTAATTAACGGTTACTAGTCAGCTGACCGTGTGAGGCACACTTGTGCGCTATAATGGTGTCATTGACAACGCCCTGCTCCCTTTTGAATAGCCTCCTAATCCTATTACTCAATTATTATTAATAAAGCGACACAGCAATTGAAAGTAGCGGCATACATTGTTAGTTTAGTAAACAAATTTCATTACAATTACTGGTGTAAGCCAGTAATGTATAGCTAATCGTAGGGAGTAAAGTTTACTCGTTGTTAAAAGTGCATCGTTTCTAATAAACCTCCAATATATAATCATGTACATTTGACCAAGAGCCAACAGGCAATTTTCATGTATGGAAAGATAAATTTTAGTCGTGTTGTAAGAGGATAGAATTAACCGTTTTGATCCGTGACAAAAAAAAGGAAAATAAATATTATTTACAACATATGAAATGAAATAGAAATGAATGTATTTATTTACGTTACTGTTCGCTATTGTTTATAATCAATATATTTCCGAGTTTTAAACAAACTCGCGAGTTTTAAGCGAACAAGCGCACCAGTTGCACTACCCATTCTGGGTAATCGGAATCTCGTAAGATGCTACAATAGACCATAGTTACGTCTTACGTCTAAATAATTAAATCTCAGGACGCAAAAGGAGGAAAGTCGTACGGTATAAAAATGGGTATTTGTACACAAGAATCTCAGGAATGTCAATTCCATTTTCTCCAGTTCTTTAAATAATACAAATACCGAATTAATTTAATTGTAGAGTCTCTGAGTGTCCCTTTACAGTAAGATAATAATGATTTATTACCGTTACGTTCAAAATAATCTAGAACTTCTTGTATTTCCTAAACTGCCTTGAGTGACTATAGCGTTACCTATATCTACGGGCGTTACTGTGCTGGTCTGCCACACAGAGGTCCCAGATTCGGTTCTCAGGCCGGGAGAAATAATTGTGTGGCCTACATTTATTTCTCTCGTGAGTTTTGATGTAATTTGTGGTTGTCTATGGGTGTGTCCATGGTACCCGCGATACAGGGATACTATAGTCCGGGGCTATGAGTGCGTGCGTGCGCGTGCGCCTTATTTGTGCGTTTCGTCTATAAGCGTGTTTTTTTTATATATAAAACTATTTACAATTTCTCTAGTTAAGTTTTTATTGAATGTCAGGATGTTTCACCAACTCCAATTATTTTTTGTGAAATCACTCCACTAACTTGTTACAATTACTAATACAAAGATCGAACACTTAGAAAAAAATCCTTCGATCCGGCTGGATTCGAACTGACGTCTCCCAGCAAATCGTGCCAGACGAACGAACCAGCGGGCCTCATGAATCATTCTATGTGCTTATTGTCGGATCTTTGGTATTGGTATTAACGACTGTTTTGCCGTAGCGACATCTGTGATAAAACTAGGAGAGAATTTCATCACCCAGTGAGGTACCTTTACAGCTACCAGCAGGTGGATATAGAAATGTCGCCTTAATTGTAATTAAATTTTTATTTCTAGTAGTTGAGAATTTTTTAGTATTATGAATAATCACAACGAAAAGTACCTATGTGTGTTCGTGCTAGTATGTACGTACTATATTTTTAAAGAATTTTGTTGGTACCTACTTGATCATTTACTTATTTACTCTTATTTTCTCAAACGAACAATATACATAGCAGGGGTTTTTAGTATATTACGTGATAACTCCGATTGGTGAACCGATTTTGATGATTCTTTTTTTTTGTTGGAAAGAGGGTACTTCGGTAGTAGTTCCATTTCAATTTGAACAAAATATTCCACCTCTAAAGGCGGCAAACTAGGCGATGAATCCGATTTGGCACACTTTCCGGTAACCGATTTTAATAAAACTTGGCAAATATATGTAATTCCACGCATTTTTGAGGTCAGTTTTTTCACATAACATGTTAATGATCCAGAAATTATGATATATTAGATAACAACGCACACACATTCAACATAGTCCCGCCCTAGGAAAACCCTGTGTTGCGGGTGCCATGGACACACACATAGACAACCACAAATTACACCAAAGCTCACGACAGAAATAAATGTAGGCCATATAAATATTTCTCCCGGCCCGGGAATCGAACCTGGGACCTCTGCGTGGCAGTTTGGCATGGTAACCGTTCGACCACAGAGGCAGTTAAAGATATAATGCTTAATGCGATAAAAACGCATCATAGTCGAAGGTATGTTATAATTAAATATTATGTACTTTATTATAATTTGTGTATGTATTGGAGCAGAAAAAAGTTTGTATTTTAAAGAATTTGACGAATTCAGTATTAAAGTGGACTTTATTAGATTTGAGTAGCGCGCAAAGGAAATTATCTATTTAGGCAGTTTTAAATGCGATACAATACAAAGTCTTTAGAACTTTATAGATTTTTGTACACGACAACAATAATTAATCTAAAATTAGTTATTTCAAGAAATCTCTATTTCATTTTTATTATTTAAATATTACTTGTATTTTGACAAAGTGGCATCAAGTTCTTCTAACAAAGGTTTTTAAAAGTTATGCCGATACGAGATCAAAACTGTTAAAGAAGTTATCTTTCTTATACTAATAGTTTGTTGTAATAACTATATAACACATGGGGCAACATTAAAAATAAGTGTAACAGGTCCAGTGTTAAAGTACCGTTAGATAAAAGATAAATAGCATTTGTAGCTAAAAGTTGAAATTCATAACCCAAAATAGTCCGGTTTTAGGCTATACACTAATGACCCGATTGATTGACATTGGCATGCATTTTAGACGGGAAGACATTTCTTTTTCTCGAATTTTTTTTTTTTCACGACAATTCACGTACTTTATTTCGTAGCCAAAGTGCCTGCGGAACAGTAGGTTATAAGCCTTTAAAAATTTTACATATGTTTGTGGACATTTCTGTGTCACGGTTTCTTTTTCTATGTCAACTTTTATTTTCAAACAATCAACTAAATAAATCCTTTAATAATATATATTTAAGTGTGCAAATGTGTTTTTATAAGACCATAATTAAGTTGCTCAACTAAATCCTTTAATAATATATATAGGTATTCTTTCATGTTATTGGAATAAATTCCAAATTATTCAAATTCATTGGAAATTAACTTAACAAAAATATGTATGTAAAACATTTGATACACCTTAAAAATTGCGTAAAACATAAAATTTACTTTAAATGCGTATTTAGTCTCCTATAACTATTTGTTGTAACAACGGGAATGATGTAATAACAGTTGAATGTGACTAATATTCAGTGTTGGAATATTAGACCACTATTATGGAACTGCTTACCAGTTAGAGAATGCGGTTATTTTGAAACATTACGACTATCTACAATGTTATAAGCTACACTGCGTTCATTATACTTCCTTAGTCCGACCTGTTTACATTGAGTACAAAATACAACATTTATAAAGATAATCTTAAAAAAATCTAACTACGTTTTACCTAGGACCACCTAGTTTAAATAAAGCACTAAGTTACGAAGAAATTATTTTTTTAAACAAAAAGTAAATTTTTTGCAAACTGTACAAATATTGCCGAAGGCTGTGAAGTGACCTAGGCCCCGGCCGTAGGTAGGGTTAGTATTAGACCGCCATGTGTCGGTAAGGTATAAAAGCCCTACTCGATAGGTTCAAAGCACACTCGTTCCCTTGTCTTCCTTCATCGCCTCAAGCATATTCCATTATACCCATCAAAATGTACAAACTGGTAAGAATTATTCTTAAACCTTTTATAGAAACATTCTCTTTAAAAGTTAATGTCAGGACGAAAGAAAGTTCGTGCTAACAAAAAACTTGTCGTAAATTGTAATTTTAAAAAGGAGTATTCGGTGAGTGAAATGAACAAAAGTTAATAATACTACAAAACGTACTTTACAATGCCTCTGTGCCCGAACGCTTACCATGCTGGTCTGCGACGCTGAGGTCCCGGGTTCGATTCCTGGGTCAGGAGAAATATTTGTATTGCCTACATTTATTTCTATCGTTAGTTTGGGTGTAATTTATTATTGTCTACGTGTGTGTCTATGGCACCCGCGATACAGGGTGTGCAAAAAAATATTTTGTTAACAATATCTCACACTTGAAGCCATATTCTGTCGTAAAAAATTACTAAATAGAATTGAGAAAAAACGGATTTTAAGTCAAAAATGTACTAAATGAATCTTATTATTTTTATTTAGAAGTATACATAATATTTAACCGTGACCATGGGGCCTGTAAAGGGCCCGAAACTTTGGTTTGTTTCAAAAAACAAATATACGCGATTTAAATTCGGATAAATAGTTTCATTTCCTATATACTGAATGAATCTTATTATTTAGAAATATACATAATATTTAGTTATCAATTTATGAACGAGAATATAAATTTATTGGTTTCATTCAGCAACTTTTTGACCTTCCTGATCGTGTTTTCTCAATTTCACAATTTTGAGTTACGACTGTATTTGGTTTCAAATGTGATTTGTTGAAAATTGCACAAGCAATTTACATAAATCAAAAGTTCCGATTCAATCTTTTTGATTGTTTGATCAATTCGATGAGTAATGCACCACCTTCATAGAAAACTATTCAAAGACTCAAAATCTGAACGATCACTATCACATAGCTACAAAAATTTGGTTATAATACCAAATTAAATTGACCAAATTTAAAAATCATTGCGTAAAGGTTAGGCAAAAAATAAATCTGTTTTCAAGAAGCAATAAATCTGATCTTTCTAAGTATTTTTATATTCCTGTTACTAAATATTCTCACAGTCAGTTTATTTTTATTTGTTCTATTTTTGTGGTTATTTTTACTCACTTAACATTCTCCAAAGGCAATGACCTGCCGAGGTCGAGCGGTCGGTCATGCGGTGCCGTGAGGTATCGGATAATTTACGCTTTTTTATCTATTCAGGATTTATAATGAATAAACCCATGAAATTTTTGAAAATTAAATAAACAATATCCAGTTTATTGAATATCACAATGTTTTACTACCATTATCGGATCATATCGGATTGGATACCGTAATTCAGCCGGATCGAAGGAACTTTCCTTGACGCGTTTGAGCACTGCATTCGATTCGTATTAGTTCTGAATCCGACACTATACAAATCTAGAAAACTCGGACCCACTTCGGATGTCACTAGTGCACTAAGTCCGATTCTAATCCGAGAAAATACGAATATCGCTTGTACACCTAGAGATAAAATGACACTTCGGACACATACGACATTTCGGACCGTCATTTCTCCGATTCGGAACTGATACGAATCGGACGTAGTGGGCAAACTCTCTTAGTGATTTTTGTATTAATAATAATTATTAAATAAATAAATTACATTAAATAAATATTTGACAACATCACATAAGCTGCTCTGATCCCGAATTAAGCAACTAAACACAAACACCCAGATCCGATACAATATAGAAAAGTTTAGTTTTTTGCATTGATCTAGGAGTCGAATCAGAACCTTACGATAACTCAGTTGTCGACCGATTTCTCTTCATTTTTATTCTCAACACCCAAATCGAACGTCAAACTGTCGTATTTGATGCCGAACCAAAATGACGTCACACCCGTATAATTACTCGAACTTCTCGACCGACAAAGACTACAAACGTTATTCAGAACACAATTATCGAATGAAAGTTACCGCGTCCTATTGTTTACAAAGCAAGAATGTAATGTGGAAATCTGTTATTATTTTAAATAAAGTATGGATTTTGTTATTTTTTTTTAATTTATTTTAATGCATTCTTATATTTTAGGCCTTTAAAGTCTTAAAAATGTATATAAAAGGATTTTCATTTTTCTTATAATCTACTTCACCGACTAACTCCGTAAACGCTGTTGGATAACTATATCGTATCCGAATCCGAACCTAACGTTTAACTCGGAATGTTCTGAATACCTCGGAAAGCGCCCTTCGATTCGAGAACAATGCAATCGAACGAAAAGAGTTCTGAATCGGTCCTCGGCGGCGATGATGACACCATGAAAACTGGTATGCAAGCCGCTCGACCACAAAGGTCGCGAAAATCTACCTACTTCTTTAAATGATGAAACAAGACGTTTTTATAACAATTTTGAGACACGAAAGGGCGTAGTCGCGCTCAGCCCACACTTTGCATGCTACCCAAACATTGCTCTGTGTGAATAAGTACAAGACAATAACCTACCAAATAACTTCTCTTCATCTTCAACTTATAAAGGACCTTAACGACCCGCAGTAAATTCTGTCCTAAACTTCTACCACATATATTAATCGTTATAGTTTGATAATTTATTTTCGTTGAACTTTGTTAATTGTAAAGTTACCTTAAGTGCAAGTAAGAAAACTTAAAATAGTTTATATAGAAACATGATTCCTTATAGCGATTTAGATAAATTTTCCAGCGTATCATCGCATCGTCATAGACCTCAGCGGGTCGTGAGTTCAAGTCCCAAGTTCGATAGGACCAATTTAGACGTAAGTTTTTTTGAAATTGTTCAATGCTTCCGCATTGCGAGGAGCGAAAAGAATAAATCGTGAACGGAAAGTGGGTTAATAAAAACAATAATAATCTGGATAAAATTGCAGGAATTCGAAATATGAACTTTTGTGCATTGCGTTCCAGAAACTACAGGCACATGGTACTTGTGCACTTTGTGTGATTTAGTGACGAGTGCAGTGACCCTTAGGTGTTTGTGATTTAAGGATCTGAATGGCACTGCAAATGTTATGGGCGGGCGTGTTGCTAACCACCAAATACACGACTTGTTTGTCCTGTCACTTGATATCATCACAAAAGGAATCAATGACAAAAACAAAGTGCTAGGCATAAAAAACGGTACTATAAAGGAATTTTAGGTTATTAACATGTATAATAACAAAATATAATCATTCCTCAAAAAGCACTATTAATTTCTGTCCTCTGTAGTTATATACTTTAATTCTATGTAGGGCTGTACTACTTCGCGGTCTAACAAAAGGCACCTAATACGTAGCCTGTTTGAATGGGACGATGTCAAGTACTTACTGCAAGATTGTTTAGGACTGGTCGCATTACAAAGCAATCGGCTAGAATGCTCTCGACATGGACCCACGCCGACAAATGCCCAAAAGTGTCCTTTAAGGACAAGCGTAGTATAACATGAGGTACTTGACGAAAAAGAGGTACAGCCGAGAATTAAAGTGAATGTACTCAATTTAGTGATGTACCCATTCTAAGAATAGTAATAGTAAATAATCATTTTCGCTTCGGGTCGCTACGCTTAAATTTTTTATGTAAAAAATATCCTAAACGTATTGTACATAAATTCTATTCGGCTTTGACGAAGCAGAAAATAATAGTTTTAGCACTTATGCTTGTATCGTAAGACGCCCGAGTATTTAAACTAGCTTTTTTTAAATTTGGGTCAAAAAGATGACAAGATATGCAACAGTAGGTTGTACAATAAGTGTATAAAACAAGCCATTTTACCCGAGACGGGGAAAAATGGGTTTTATGAACGAGATATATTCTGTTTTTCACTACGATTGCGAGGAAATCAAACAGCAGTATTCAAATAAATGTTAATTTCTTTCTTTTTCTTTTTTTCTACACGTGTTATTTGGCTCGTGTTTTAATTTTTATGCATTTCTATTTCTTATAACTAATTAGTATTACAATTGCCTACTTTTATTTATTTTGTAATATATCATGGATAAAAAAATAAAGTTCTAGTGTGCGTGGCTGTAAGAGACTTTACTTTATGCACTAGAGCATAAAATCCTATTTTATGCAAGCTACATCGAGCATAAATACGAACTTTAAGAGCATGAGAAGTGAAAAAGATATTTAATCTACGTTCCACGTCATCGCTTTTTCCAATTTTAGGGGTAGCGTATTCCAGAAATTAAAAAACCATTTTTAGTACGGTCTACTCTATCAGGCATAACATTATAGATCTGTGTAACTATCATTTGTCAATATATCTATTATAGCCAGCCCAACTATAGTCAATACTTTAACCACAAAAGTGGAATAGAACGATTAATAGCTTTTTCGCAGTTTTGTTTTAGTTTGCATTGTTTCATTAAAATGAAATCTTTAGCAGTACTATAAGGGTCGTTTGTAAATACATATGTTTAAACATTTTGTTATATTCCCTAACCTTATTAGAATTAGCTTCGGGAGTCTTGTTAAATCACAGAATTTTATTTACTAAATTATTTTATTTATTAAATTTACTCATAGATCTGGAGTCGATGTAATTCTCCTGGTGTACGTTGCATATAGATTAATTCTATATTTTCAGGTCGTATTCACTGCCCTCCTGGCTTGCGCCGCTGCCGCTCCCGGCCTCATCAGCCCATATGCGTCATATGCGTCCCCGTACGCTGCTTCCTACGCTTCTCCCTACGCTTCTCCCTACGCTGCTCCTTACGCCGCGCCCTGGGGCAATGGACTGGTTGGTGCCCCTCTTGTAGGTGCCCCTGTCGTGAAGACCGTCGCCCCTGTAGCCACTTCTTATGCTAACACTGTCAGGGTAAGATTTGTTTGATAACACCTATATGTAGGTTGTAACAAAAAGGTCCTGGGGGCCTATTATGATGAGCTCTTAGTGCAGTCTATTTAGGCCTGTAAGTTGGATTGCCTGTCAAATTCATACTATGACCTCACAAAAACAATTGACTGTCCATGCAGTTTACGTTCCCCATTCGCAATCCGTTCACCTATTCTTTCATAGCAAAATCGTACCATGACGTGCCCTTTGCCATGCAAACGGCGGTCTCATCTGTAAAAATAAGCAATTCAAAAACTAACGTAACTTTTTTTAGATTTTGTTACATTTTTAAGAAATTTCGTTTAAGTTTTATTATATTTTCAGTTTCATAATTATTTGTCATCTTTTTATGCTTTATTGCCAATTGTCAATAAATAAATACTATTAATCTATTGAGCGTTTTTTGAATATTTTAGATCGAGTTCCCAATCTTTAAAGTATTGTTGATAAATTATTGGCATGAATGTTATTGCAATTTTTAAATGGAATTTTTATCATTTTAATAATTTTATTGATCGAAAATCGTAAAATAACTTATATAAATAATGCCAAATTCCACTTTAGTGCAATCAATGAAAATGTACGAATACAAGATACGTTCCAATTATGTTATCAAATTACAAACTCACCTTATTAATTTCAATGATAATGACTAAACATGACATGTAATTTTGTTGTTACAAATTTTAAAATATGATTGAAAGTTGCCGATATTACAAAACTACGTACTAAGTATAATTAATAATAAAATTAGTAACAAAAATATAATTATTCTCATTATAAATACAATCGGTCAATAGTGGTTGAACGCTCCCAGGATAGTACATCTGTCTATTTCTTTCATTTGACTTAGTATGTAGTTCCATCTCCCTCTTGTTAGATGTCAGCTAGCCAGCCAGAAACGATAACAAACGTTTAAAAAGTAAAACTTAACATCCAGGCATGCCATTCCCGTTCAACTTTGTGTAGGTCATGATACGAATTCAGTTTTAGCACGCCATCGCCAAGTGAATTACATGGAACTTGACTGGCTGCTTATAAGCTCATAGTAGGCCCCCTGACCCTTATTTTAAAATTTAAATATCAATTAAGAAAATATCACTAAAATAAAAAATAATAATGAATAAATATTAGATAACATCACATATGTTTCTCTGATCCCAAAGTAAGCAACTAAAGCATTTGTTACGGAACTCGGAAACAACGACATTACCACAAACACGAAAACCCGAATTAATGCATTCAGGCGTTACTTTGCAGAAGTCCATGTTAATAAAAATAGAAGTAAATTAATTTGCTACTCCGCGAACCCAGTGAAGGTTAAATCGTGCTAAATAGCTGCGCTTGTGTTGAATATTTTTTCATGCTGTTAATTATCCCATCCTCTCTCCGCATAAAATTAATAACACAAGCGCAACTACAGTCACAAACCACCACCAAAAATATAACCGACACGTGTTTCGCCTCTCTCTCCTCTCTCTCTCTCCACGAGGCATCCTCAGAGGCTGTTGACTGCTCGACACTCGGCGGAAGAGTCAATTAATTTAATTTAATTTTTATTACCAAGACCTGAGACAATAATACTTCGAAAATTTAGTTTCTACATTGACACAGCCCGGAATCGAACCCGGGAAACGTGTTCAAGCCACTCGGCCACGCAGATCGTCATAATTCTTTAGTAACGGGACAAATGTTGACCGCCTGAACTTGCAACATTTTTCTTGTATGGTATGCAAATAAATTAATTTTCTTTCTTTCTTCTTCTTTCAACATAAATAATCAACTGTCCCATAAATTGGTGATGGTATCAATGATCGATATTTTAGACGTGTGTCTTTAAACTTCAAAATTTTGATTTTTTTTAAATCTAAATTTAAGGAGCCTGTAATGGTAATGTCGCTCCGTAATGCTAATTAATTCATACATCTAACCAAGATTATGATTTTTTTGTTTTCAAACATCAATAGTGATGAGTTTACTTGGCAGATAAGACCCTCAACAAAGATTATGCTGTAATATGTTTCATAAAAAAGCTATTGTAATTATTACTTATTACTATTTAAAAAATCTAAACTAGAATGTCCCTAAGCCTCCATTAATGGACAAATCCACTTATTAACTATTATAATCAGTAATCGACACTCACCAATAATGAACACCCAGTAATTGACACTTACCAATAACAAACGTAAAAATTATGTCCCAATTCTTATTAGATATTAATTTAAAAAGATGTCGAACGGTGGTGCTTGTCGGTTACTGGGGCCACCTTATGAACATTTTGTACAATAAATTAAATTTACGTTTTATGATATCTACAGTCCAAATAATAATCATTTGTGCACAGCACATTTACCATTTATAAATAAAAGGAACAATGCAATAGTGGGTGTAATTGATCAAGTTAAGCTACAATTTTGCGACACTACTGCCTACCAACTACTATCCATATACAATCAAGTTTACAAACTATCAACAAACCGTACTCAATAATTTAGGCTCGTGCCATTTGCAGTCGCATGAAAATAAACATTGTAAGACTATAGAAAATACATGTGTTGTTTTGTCTTTAAATACATAATAATAAATAAAAATAATGTGCCTGACAACCACACCTTTATACGCGGGGTCTCAAACTAGGTTTTCTTAAATAAATAATACAAAAATACAAAAGCTAACATTTTTACTAAAGGTTTTTTGTCATTATAACATTTATTCTATCTATTTAGCATATTTGTTTGTACTTACTGAAGATAGACTTACTTCAAGAGACGTTGTACTGTGAGTATTAGAGCAAAAAAATTAGCCCCTGGTGCATTATCTAGAACAATCAGAATCTTTTTAACTTGAATGGTCCATTTTCCAAATTGGAACCCAACCCGAAACCTTCACATTTAATCCCCACAACGCTAACCGCTGAACCACCAAGGTTGTCAAAATCTAAAAAATATTAAATGACGAGATGAACAAATGGCCCGGTACTATTTTTGTAAATTATTGTTGTGATTAATAAAAAGTTGTAATTAAGGCGGTGATGGACAACAGAGGACTAAATTTGACACTTAAAAAATCGTAATTCGTTTACAAAACTACAATAAACACGTGCAGAGTGACATAAAAATCATTTAAACTCATTGTATACAATATGTCAAGTGCACAAGAGAGAGCTGTTAGTTTTCACTCGATAACTTTATAGCAGACGTGAAAAAGTCAATCACAATTTAGTAAAATGGCTACAATTATTAATCTTGACGAAATTAAATATTTTTTAAAACGTAATATCGACTGTCACCAATAATAACCTTAGATTTTTACTTAATAACTAATACGTATACTCACCACTACTCATAATTGTCTTTCTGTCGGCGAGGCTAGCACATGTATGTACCTTTTATAAATAGTTATATAAAAGGTACTTGTGCTAGGAGACTTGAAAGGAGTGTTGAACCCAGATTATTTTGAACTTGACATAAGTTAAAAAATATAACAACATTTTTTTAATTTATAAAACTCTGTCAATGCAAGCTCAATTAGACTCACCAATTCACCGATCGAATTAAACGGCACCTTTGTTATTTTACAAACTGATTTCTTTGTTCGCTAGCAATAATGCTTCCTTATTTAGAATTATTTACGATATTAACATTGTCGCTTGACTGTACTTTTGCAAATAAAATTACTTGATTTTAACACCAATCAACGTAATGGATAGGATTTGATGATTATAAGAATTTAATGTTTCTGCTGTAATTATTCCTCTACTTGTTTTAGTTTTCGTAAAAGCGATAAAAGTTTACATTTCTATGACAAGAACAAATACCACTAGCACAAAAAAAAAACAATTTACGGTTTGCATAAAAGGATCAAAATAAATTGCGCCTAAGACAATCAGTCTTCGTTATTCCTTTCGTTAATTATACAACAACCAAAAATATTTCTGAATATTTTCGGCACAAACTGGGTTTAAAAAGTTAAAAATATTCAGACGCAAGGGAGATCTCTTTGTATCACAAATCTTTATTGCTAAATACTTTTTTAGATCTTGAAGGTTGTCTTTGTGTTTTAATAGTATTGAACAAAAGCCAAGTGGCATCTGATCAAATGTCAAAGTATGTTTACTCAAAGTATGTCCAAGTTCAGAGTGAATGTCCTCATATAAAGCTTACCTCATATCAAATTTAAGATTTACTTACATGGCATGGCCTACGGTAACTTGAATAATGTATTAGATGGAGTTAAAGAATGTACAAAGCAATCTTATAATTTATTGTTAAATGTTTCTTTTTTAGATTGCGTCCCCTGCCGTTGTTGCTGCTCATGCTCCAGTGCTGGCTGCTCCCACTATCGCTCATGCGTGGTAAGGTGTTAGATGCCCTTAAGATCCAACGGCTCCCAACATCAAGGTTCCAGACCTCTCCGATAAGTGCAACAGTCAATTTACTATTTATTTTATAGTATTAAGGAATTCGAAACTATAGATTGGAGCAAAAATCCAACTCGCTCGAGCTGGAATGTTGTTAGTTTGGTATAAAATGAATAAATAAATTTAATTTTTTTTTTGTGTATTTTTTAAAGCTCAACTTGTTGAAATGTTTAGGTAAGTAGGCACTAAACTTCATATAAGGAAAGGACGGACAAAACGAGCTAATCAATAGCTATCAATGTGCCTCTATAAAATTAACTTCGCATATTTATGCAAAACGATACAAGTACTTTAAAACTTGTATAACCACTAGTTTGGGCATGTATTTACTAAATATAAACTTCCGCCTAAACCCTATATATTATCGTTTAATAGCTAAATCCTAAATTATATATATATATATATAAAAGGTACTTGTAATTATATATATAGGTATATATATATATATATATATATATTTCACAAGGAAACGATTGACGAAAAATTATGGGCTATATGTACTACCGAGCGTGTAGAAGATTTAACGCCATAGTAACCCAGGCAACTCACCTAGTATATGACTTTACGAATTACATGCTGTCGCAAGTACCAGGACAGCATGAACTCAGAGAGACAACAACGGATGGATTACAATTAATAGAAGCAAGACCGAAGCCTCAGGTTCCAACTAATTTATTATGTTATATGCTAATTGACGTCAAGTAACATTTCAACTTTTCATTTATGCATTGTAAACGTCAGTCACCGTAAATCATATAATAGGATCTGTTAACTGTGATCAATTAAGCACAGTTATAATTATAACTTAAAGAGAAATAATGACAAATTTACAGAACTGTACCGACTATTCAATCTATGGAATTGGTGTGCTTTTAAAATGGTTTGGGTCGTTGTTAACAATCCTGGCCAAATACTGTTGCAGTAAATTCATATCTTCGTTTTGTGAACCATTTTCGAATAAAGTCTCGTCACGGTGTTTTTTTAAAGCAAGGCAAAGCGAGCAATACCTATATTTAAAGGCAGGATGAAAAACCACAGAAATTTATTGTTCAAACATCTACTCTAAAAAGTAATAATGGTATTGATTTTGAAGTTTCGATAAAAGAAATTATACAAACAGGCATATTATATAATCTTTTTTTTATCTAAACAAGGCGGTTTTATTTATCAGTCGAGCTCTGTTAAAATGAGAGTTGGTGTTCCATATAAGCCGACACCATGAGCGTCAGATTCGATTCCGCATACTTCATATGTAGATACAAAACCTGTCGCGGTACACATATAACAAGACCTGTTAACGTAGTGTGCTAAGTTCCATTTTAGTGTGACAAAACGTAATTTAACATCGTTGCGTAGGTCGATGTATGGCCTTTTTTTGCAACAGTGCTCTCCATGGTTGTCCAATGACTTTGTAGAATTTAGTAGAATGTTTTAAGATATTGTGTACGTTTTTAGAGCTCTGGGCTGTATTTATGTCGACACCAGCAATTAACATTAGGCTAACTTAAAAATTGTAACTTTTCGCCAGAATATATTTGAAATATCAATGATTTTTCTACCACAGTTAATTCTTCTTCGTAGATTATAGATTACATAGTTTGTGATTATCATTTTCGTATTATTTTCTTAATTTAGGATTTAATTTAAATTAGCGAAGTAATTTGAGATTGAAAATGAAAATCTTCTCAATTCGGGTTAGCGTTAAGTTAATTGCTGGTGTCGATGTGTTACTCAATGAAAAAATCTTATAAGTACACACAACTAAATGTGCAATTAAAAACGTATAAATGAAGTTGTAGCAGCTCTATAAAAAGCTTCAGACGGCCTACGCCCATCTGTCCACCTATCATAGCGGAATGAAAGTGAACTCAAGGTCACTAGGCAGCGAGACCTTAACATTTGGTTTATCGAGCACTGCAAAAAGTAACAAAAACTATAATCTGCTTTAATGACGGCTACAGCACGCCGTAGTAATATATGATACTAGTTATACAAGCACTTTGACATTTTCACAACAAGACTTTTAATTTGTTTCCGTTTACGTGCCAGTGATATGAAGTATGTGTTGGATATTAAAACACAATGTTTTGTATTCCCAACATGATCTAATACATGTATGTATGTCAGAAGTAGACAAATGGAAATAAAAGAGACTTTGAGCGCAAGGTATGCATGTACTGAGAGTGCGTCGTGCCTCTAGTTTTCGTAAAAAAAAAACAAATACACAAAAAATTGTTCAACAGATGAACATCAAATATGTAGAGCTCCTTCTGAAAGAGTCCGTCCAGGGAAGTACTACCACCTTACCTATTTCTACCGCCAAGCAGTAATGTGAGCATTATGACATTTCGATTTCGTTTTTTCGCAAGGGGCATGTCAACTTGTGTCTTAAGGTGACGGGCCATGTGGCAGTGCCCCTCTGAACTTTGTGATTTAAAGCTCTAGTGCCAACTACAGCTGTTATGAACAAGCATGTCACTTACGACCAGGCTCACGAACAAGTGTTCGTGCCGTCACTTGGTATCGTAAAAAAAAACAGTGCTAAGTAAAGAGACCGTATAGTCTCTGCCACAGAGGTTCGCCCAACTAGAGCTGTCTAGTAGATTCTGTGTTAATCGAATTGCTAATCGCCTTAATACACATTTGCAAAAATATACGCAAAAAAAAATTATTACTAATTTCGTACTTTAACTTTAAAACTGAATAACTAATGTAATTTTTTTTGTAATAAGGCTCTTTTAAAGTTCAGTAAAAAATATTAGTATTACGGGAAACATCGTCCATCATAATCCAACCGAAATAAATATTATCTGATATACATTATTGTTGAAAATACTATACTAAAATCTGTTTGCTCTGTTCTAAAATTCTGATACTGATGAGACATGTGGCGCCGAGAGAGGTGATCGTGTATATACGTAATTTTCGCACCCAAGTGAATCATGTTCTCGTTGAACTTGACTTTAAAGACGTTTACCGGGCGTAGTATAAATACATACGCAGTGTAAAAGAAAGCATCAGTTATCGCTCGTCCGTCCGTTCTCAACTAACACAGACCACGATGAATTCGCTGGTGGTGTTGCTATCTGTGGTGGCGTTGGCCACAGCCTCTCCTTCTGGTGGCTTTGTAGCCCCTGTGATCGCCAGGTTCGCTGAGCCAGCATTCGTTGCGGCGCCAGCAGCTATTGCTACCTCAGCCGCTGTATCGCAGCAGTCCCGCATCGACATCAAGGCGTCCCCAGCTGTGGTTAACACCTATGCTGCCGCTCCCGTCGCCTACGCAGCTCCCGTAGCATATAGTGCACCCGCCGTTGTCAAAACCGCAGTCGTCGCTGCCCCTGCTGCCGTCGCTGTCCCTGCTGCGACCTCATACCAATCTCGTGTGGACATTAAGTCAGCTCCATCTGTGGTTAGCACCTATGCCGCCCCCGCTCCTGTAGTCTATGCGGCTCCCGTAGCCTACAGCGCGCCAGCTGTTATCAAAACCGCAAGCATTGCTGCTCCTGCCGCTACATCATACCAATCTCGTGTGGATATCAAGTCTTCTCCAGCTGTAGTTAGTGAGTATGCCGCCGCCGCTCCCGTCGCCTACGCAGCTCCGACTATTGTCAAGACTGCCGCCGTAGCTGCTCCTGTGGCTTATGCCGCTCCAGCTGTCGTCAAAACCGCTGCCATCGCTGCTCCAGCTGCGGTCTCTCACCAGTCTCGTGTGGACGTCAAATCCTCGCCTGCTGTAGTCAGCACTACTTACACCGCTGCTGCTCCTGTTGCCTATGCGGCACCTGTGGCGTACAGCGCCTCCTACGCGGCCCCTGCCTTAGTGAAAGCTACCGCTTTCTCTGCACCTGCGATTGCTGCCGCCCCGTTTGTTGCCGCGCCTGCTGTGCCCCTGGATACTCCTGAGGTGCTCGCTGCTCGTGCTGCCCACTTCGAAGCTAAGGCTGCGATCACTGGCGCTCACATCATCCACAAGCGTTCTGCTGTACTGGCTGCTGCTCCCGTGTACTCAACATATGCTGCTGCCCCAATAATTTCTACATACGCGGCCCCACTGGCTTACCACGCGCCCCTCACCTACTCATCTCCTTTCTACACCCGAAGCGCCCTTAGCTTGCACCCCTGGTGAACACCACCACGGATATGAGACGTGTTACTTCTCCGGTAGAACTGACGAGTGGTAACTTAGATGACACCTGTAAATAATAAAATGAAAAACCACAAAATGTTATGATTTTTTTTTACTTTATATACATTAACAAAATTTAATATTAAGCTTAGGCTACAAAAAAAAAATGTAATTGGATTTCAGCGTCAGGTCGCCCAAATAGCTGGCAGCATTTTTCGTGAAAATAGCTAGGCTAATAAGTTGAGTCTAATAGCTTTGAGTCATTAATTTTTTTTTAAATTTTTAGCTCCCAAAACAACTAATAGCTAATTAAATCTATGAAAGAACAATACATTTTTGAGATATCTACCACTTCATCCAGATCCAGTTTTTCCTCTGATGAAAAATCCCAAACAGACATAAAGCTGCAATACTAATGAATATGTTTTAATTTATTCTAATTTTCATTAGTAATTAATAATAAATTTAATTTAATAAAAATTCATGTTGTTAAAATAAGACAAAATATTTATTAAAACTTTACCATCTCAGTGACCATAAGAATTGTAAAGGGCCCAAAATATTGGTTTGTTTGAAAAAACAAACATACGCAATTTAGTACCGAAAAAATAGTTTTATTTCCTATATAGTCATAAAGTAGGAAATGAGTACACAAGTTTATCTTGTTAAACAGTATGACTTTTGGTCACATTCTTTAGATAATTAAGTGATCGCGTTGCGATGTTGACTGGTAACACAATAATTTTAAATATAAGTATCATAGAATAGAAACTAATAAAAATAAAAATGTCTCTGCCTATGTCGTCGACGTCAAAGCAGTATTTTTTATATTTATTTATATATTCCTCATAGTAACTGCACTGTTTCACAAGAATCTGAATTAGTACCTACCATTCTCATCGAGCGCAGCAAGCGAAGCTTTCCTTTCAAAATAGACAAATCTGCGAAAAGAATTAGGGAGTCACTACACTTGTCGACACGAAATCACATTAAGCCGGTCAGAAAAATCTTTATGTCCATGTAATAAGAGCGAAAATGACGTGCGTTGCACGTCGGCGAACGAGCGGAAGCGAAAGGCACAACGTCTTTTTTTCAACGCTCTTATTGCATAGACAAAGGTTTTCTGACCCCTCAAGGCGATTCCGTGTGAATAAATCTAGTGAGTCCTATGGGACTCACACAGCCGTTCCTCAACAGATAAGCGTGAAATTTAAAATTAGCATAAAAATACACAGGTAGTTTTCAGATAACCTCCAAAAATGAGTCCCTTTCGATAACTTTTATGTTATTACATGAATGCTAAGCATTATTTATTTAATATGATTACTTGCTTGCTTAGTCTGTGTTACACATAAAAAACCTACTTTACTACGTCACAGTAATAAATAACAATTAAAAAAGTGAGCAATTTCTCATTCATGGGAGCCGGTTCCACGTCGCCCTAATTTTAAGAAAAGAAGAAGAAAAAAATAAACACTCGTGGAAATCGCAATATTTCCCATCGAGGATAAACTATAATAACTTACACGACGAATACATACCGTAACTTTGTAATTTATTATAAACAAACATGTTTTCTTGGGGATACAAAATGTGTTTCAATTTTTCTTATCATTACTGACGATTCAACTAAAAGCCTCCTAATAACAAAAGTTCATACCGCATCACCTTCACCTTTCGCACAGGTGAGAAGGGGCTCCTGTTGGATTGTAGTATACATAGTGAAGTAACCTGCACATCTCCGTTTTAGCAAAAAATCGACTTAAATACCAATTTCAACGCTAGGGACTAAATCGTTCTCATTCATGTACCTAAAGCAATCTGTCTAACTAAGTATTAAGTAACAGTTTTATAAACTTTATTTTACATCAATTAGACAAAGGGAACTTTAAAATCCATGCACTTTTATAACGGTCCAGCATATTTTACACACGTGACAATTAGAAATTTATCCAAATATGACGATGATGATGGTGGTGATGATGATGATGATGATGATGATGATGATGATGATTGTAATGATGATGACGATGATTGTGATGATGGTGTGAATGATAATGATGCTGATAATAATGGTGATCATGATGATAATGTTCATGGTGGTGATGATGATATATTAATGTATAACAAAGTTTATATGACATTAACAAAATACTTATTTAGTTTTATTTATTAATTACATATAGATAGATAGATGGTCTTACACGGATGAGAAGGATTTTGATACAAGAATTTATTTTAAAATATTTGTTACATGTTAAATGTTGTTAAATGTTTTTTGTGAACGACAAAATGTGTGTTGTAATAATAATTTCCCATTACTGTTTCTCGTTTAAGTTTAAGAGAAAGACGTTTCTCATTTATGTTTATGAGAAAATCATTCGTGTTACTGCAATCTCATTCGTATGACCTAAAATATCGTTTTTTGTTGTATTTAACATAAATATGTCTGTGATTTTATAATTATTGACATTGCTTAACTTATTTGTCAGTTTAAGACCTTAAAACCAAAAGAAAAAAGGGTTTTACAAAAATCACTCAAAAAGTGCCATTGAAATTTTAACTGCCTCCGTGGCCGAACGGTTACCATGCCGGACTGCCACGCAGAGGTCCCAGGTTCGATTCCCGGGCCGGGAGAAATGTTTGTATGGCTTACATTTATTTCTCTCGTGAGTTTGGGTGTAATTTGTGGTTGTCTATGTGTGTGTCCATGGCACCCGCGACACAGGGTTTCCCTAGTGCGGGGCTATGTTGAGTGTGTGCGTTATTTATTTATTTATTTATTATTTATTAAATTTGCAAAGTGAAATTCACCCCCACTACAAATTCACCCACAATTCCTCACCTTACAGTGAAAATCTCGCACACACGTTTTCACATAGTTCGTTTTTACTGATTTTTGTTGATTGCTCAAATGTGTTATTAAAGTAATATATCTGAATATATGACAGTAATATATCTAATGTATCTGAAAGAGGTATAATTTAACTAATTAAAATGCTAACTGCAAACATTATTGTGTTTACTACATTTTACACCACGTTTTTATTTTCGTCCTGAAAAGTTACATAGAAATCACATATGAGGTTTTCACTCTAAAATGACAAATTCCACATTACGGAGAATGTTACAGATAGTTCTCGAAATTTCGTTTAATTTTCGAAATATGGTATTTACCAATTACCTACCTACTTTTGAAACAAATAACACCATGTAACATGATTATTGTTTCTTGGTTATCAATATTATTTTCTAATTGGTTGTAACATAAAAACATTAAAAAAAATATTTCCCTGCAAAATCTTTGCTTTTGCGATCAGGACAACGAAAAGTTGAAATATGCGTGCCATTAAGGAAATGTACATACACACGTACGTATAGTAAGTTTCCGAGTTCCTCCTATTATAGAGAAAAAAAGGGAACATTATATTTCAAATCAATAGTATATTTCAAGCAAAATTCTAAAAAATTATGACAAAGAACTCAGAAATGTGTAGCTTTGCGAAAGTATGTAGATATGTAAATAGGCAGCTATGCAAGTACCACTGTGGCACTCACACAATCAACTTCCAAGTATATAATTGTTACTACATACTTGCTGCTCAATTAAACAGGAAGCAATACTGTCAAACCAGAAACAGATTTTTAATTAATTCATTAGAGCAGCATCATATCTGTGCCAAATGTTTCTATATTCTATGTCAAACAGTTTCGATAAAATATGACTTAACAAACAAACACCACCATGAATCCATCGAAGTTTTCAAATTACAAAACAAAGAATTGTGATTAAAGCAGTCCGCGAAAAACAATTCTCCGAATCAAAAGATTCCTAGTTCAAAAAAACTTACTCAGAGCACTGCATTTGAAAGTTAAAAAAAAGAATTACGGATGGCAATTATTATTTATATGGTTTTCTGTTATTATTTTTAGTTACTGTTTATAATATCCGACCCAAAAATAGCTGCAAACCAATTTTTATAAAAGAACATACACTTACACTTCCTTGTATATATTTAATGGAAACGATAAATTTTGTAACGAAAAATATTAATAATTTCGAATTTGTTAAAAGTGATCGCCGATATACAAACTTAGCCTTACCAACACCCTTATCAAAATGTATCAAAATAGCCCACATTGAAGAGCAGTAAAAATCTATAACAAATTACCTGACACACGAAAAACAATAGAGAGACATTCCACATTTTGTAATAAACTCAAACTATTACTAAATCAGAAATGCTATTACTCAGTTAATGAATATTTTGAAGATGACTCTCTTAAATAATATTGCTTCCCTTATGTAACTATTAATTTGCATTCAAATGGTATTATTAATTTTAAGTTTCGCTTAAAGGTTTATCATTTGTTATACCTTACTGGGTGCACGTAACATTTTAAAAGTAACGTGTCTACCAAACTAATGAATAAATAAATAACTAAAATATAATTAAATAAAACGTAACGGTTTTTTACCTTTAATTCGACTTAGGTATGGTAAAGTTTAAATGTACGTATGTATTTTAATGTAATTATATGCCAGACCAGCACACCCATTACCTGGTCTCAAACTAAAACATTCCTTGAACTACAAGTACCGGAGCAACGGAATTCACTCTGCAGCACTACCCGGAACACCAGAAACAATTTAGAAAAGTTCATTTCTCAATTGGTCCTGGCAGGAATCGAACTCAGGACCTTCCATGCACATCCACGCATCCAGCGCCCATAGTAGAAACCGTTGTGACACCGAGATCGTCATTTATTGTATTGAAAACGTCATTGATAAAAATTCTAAAGCCAATGTACAATAATACTTATTAACAAGACAAATGTTATTTGCGTAACAACAATTTACTGTATATAGGTGCCTGGTACATGGCACAAGTTTTAAGTAAACTTAATATAATTATTTTAAATATACAGTATCTAAAATAGGTAGCCAAGCATTGTTTGAACATAATAATATTACATATTTCTAATTAACTACTTACTTTAGTATAATATAATATTATTACTCATATACTGTGATATTATACTTACGCCGAAAATGACAACCATTTCGATATTTTAAATTTTAACACGAACAACTAAAAAATTTTCTTCTTTAGTTTATAATGTGATGGATGATAAAAGAATCAATCAATACTATCTTTTTAAAATCAATCACAAAATAGTCATATGCACACCTTGAGTTTCAGATAGATGTGTTTGTATTTGTCAAACAATAAATAAAGGCGGAAGCTTCCGCATCTCGAAAAAAAATATATTTGCCTACTACATTGTAATTAATGAAACGGTTAGATCTTGTTCAGAATAGTTGTTTGAAGGTAATGGCGTGGCATTTTTTGTATAACATGAACAAGATTAGGCGAATGGTATAAAAGCATCCAGCATTTATAGTCGCACATCAATCGATCCGAGCTCATCGATCAGACAACTCAACACAGACCACAATGTACAAGCTGGTGGTGTTATTCTCCGTTTTGGCGTTGGCGGCGGCTAAGCCCAGTATAGTGGCTCCGCTAGCGTACAGCACTGTACCAGCCGTCAGCTCAGTGTCCCAGTACAGCAGCAGCGTGGTCCATGGTTCCCCTGTGGTGGCTGCTGCTCCTGCCGTCTACAGCGCCGCCGTAGCACCTGTAGCATACAGCGCACCCGTGGTCGCCCCTGCTGTGTACCCTGCGGTGGCCACACTAGCTCAGGCCCCTCACTCCCCAGCGGTCGTCCTGGACCCCGTCAATGGCGTGCCCCTCGATACCCCTGAGGTGGTCGCCGCCCGCGCCGCTCACTTCCAAGCCAAGGCATTGTCCGCGCACCATCTCCGCAAGCGCTCCGTCGTCGCTCCTGTGGCCTACAGTTCAGTCGTTTCCCCTGTCGCCTACTCCGCTCCCGTAGTCTCTGCTTACTCCACTCCTTATGTATCATCTCCTGTAGTCTCTGCCTACTCCAGCCCGGTGGTATCCGCATACTCCGCCCCGGTCGTTTCTTCTCCCCTCGCTTACTCAGCTGTAGTCCCTAGGGCTCTTAGTGTTCATCCTTGGTAATTAAACGAGTTTCGTCATTGAATGAAATATTAGTCTGATCAACGAAATGAAATGTTTAAAATTGTATTACACTGCCAAATAAAGGAATTTTATATACTGTGATTGTTGTTTCTTCTATTTCTTCCTATTATTTCAATTTTAAGTTTTATGTTCTGAAAGTAATATACTAATAATAAAGCGAAGTACATATTGTATTGGTAATTGCGAAATAATTTAAAGAATTGTTTTCCATGTAAATCATATAGCTCGAATATATAAGTTTATTTATATTGATGTTATCTTAACTTTCACAGAATTCGTTACCAAACAGTTATTGGATGAATTAGTAATATATAATTTGGATTATCATTGAAGTAATGAAAATAACAAAAATGTAAATTCTTCGAATTTATTTGCATCCAAAAACTATATTAAATGTACAACATTTTACGACAATATCATATATCAAAATATACAATATCAAAGGTACACTGCAACATTATCTAATCAAGACTCGGTACAAGTTTAATAAGAGCCGTGAGTTAAATGAGGATAGAGACCACCGTAGTATCCCAGTCCATAAAGACCAGCTCCGTACAATGGTGACACCAAAGGTTTATGGAGCAAAGGTGCGTGGACTAATGGCGTGACTACAGGCTTAACCACAGGCAAGACAGGAGCGGCTACGACAGCAGGCGATGTATGAACATCCAGGCGAGACTGGTGAGAAACAGCAACTGGAGCAACATGAGCGATGGGCGCCACATGAGTATACGGAGCCAACGGAGCCCCGTAGTGTGGAGACCGCTTCAGGATGTGATGCACCAAAGGCTTGGCTAAAAGTCCATGTCCGTACAAGCCGTGAGCAGCATAACCATGATGAAGAGGATATGATACTACCAATGGAGTAGTATGTAGCGACTGCACTGCCGGCACTACTGGCGCATAAGGCACCGCGTGGCTATGGCACAGTGCGAGACAGGCAAGTAGCACCACAGCATGGAACATGTTGATTTGTTCTGAATTTTAATCGAGCTTTGCAAGGTGCACCGAATAAGACTGACTGACGCCTTCTACCCCGCTCGACACCTTCTTATACTATGAATTGTGATTCAAAGTGACAGGATCAAATAAAGATACCAATAATAGATTCGACACGCTATATTGATCACCGTGATTGTGTTGACAAAAAATCGGAATTCAACGTTCAACCCAGTTTTTGCGTTCAACCTGAAAATAAACGCACACTATTAAAAATAAGTAACAATAATAGAGAACAAAATGGAAGTATTTTTTATGTCAAACGCAACAGAGTTGTTTAACGCGCGATTACAAAAATCATTATTAAATTCTTAAAATACTCAATCTATTTTGTTTATTAAATATAATTTCTCGATAAGAATCTCAATAAACAACCGTTACGTACAACATCGCAATGCGGTTACGTAAGCAAAGCCAAGTGCATTGAACATGATAAATGCGTGACGTCTGTATAATGCATCGCATCTCTAAATCCGGCCAGTGCCCCGCGGTGCTTGTGTAGTGACGCAACGACCGTCATAGCGGCCGAGAACTTGACCCGGCGAGCAGCGCCCGCGCAACACGCCACTTACCGTTACACAACTATAAAACTACGACTCGTCTGCCTCACGCACCATACAGCAAACCATAACAAAGACAAAATGATTAAACTAATTCTCCTAGCGTGCGTGAATAATCTCGTCCAAGGATATCTAACGCCGTTACTATACGCAGCTCCAAGTGCAGTTTCGCATCAATCGAGAATAGACATACAGCATACTCCCCTCATCTCAGCACCGCTGATCTACAGACCTGCACCCATCGTTGCAACACAGCCTGCGCAAACAATAGTGTCTCCTATCATAGCTAGTGATACTTTACTGACGCCTATAACTTTGAGTTTTTTCCACAATCTGCGATTAGCACGAGCTTTGAGACATTCCATATCGTTAAAGAAAGTACGAGAAGGTGCTGATAAAAAAGAAAAACTAACAACTGAAAATATGGTGATCCAGAAGTTGGGACAAGAAACTATATCTGTGCCAGATATTAATAGAAAATTTATTGATAATAAAGAGGAAGCTAAAGCCCTAAACGTCGAGATTGAAAATGCTATAAAAGGGAATAAGAATTATGTTACTGCTTCAAACGTCAGCATATAATCTCGGTGAATTTTGTATGCGGTATATGTTTTACTGACGTGCTGTTTGCAGCACTATATGTAGTGTCAATTTTGGGTATATTTCTAATTTAACTTATTAAAATAATCTTAGTTATATTTTGATTTTATTATTTCAATCAATTATCATTGTGCATAATTTTTTGGTATGAATAAAAGTAATTTAACAATACCTTAAAGTTTTCACTTGTTTTCATAATCTTTTTGATTAAATCGTAAAGTTGAATCAAAAAACCTAAACAAGGAAGACATTGAATGAATTATAAAACATTTATTTCGAGTATATATTTTATTGCAGTTGACTTTCACAAGAAATAAGGTATTAGATTTAAATGTCGTTTAGTATATACATCATAATAGTTTGCTACATAATATTAAGAATATTTTTAATGTTTCCAGTCTTGTAGTAATCTCCTTTAACTTTGCATAGTTCTCGTCGAATTAGAGCTTTTACTTTTTGTAGTAGAAGGGAGTAAATAACGGACTAGAGTAAGTGAGAGGAGCAGCATAAGAGTACGAAGTAATGAGAGGAGATGAGTGTACGTCTACTCTAGACTGGGTAGAGTAGGAAGTAGGGGCAATGTAGGCACTGGCAATCAAAGGTGCGGAACGTTTCTTGATCAAGTGCGAGTAGGCTACGGGAGCAGCTGCGATAACAGGCGTAGCAGGAATAATGTGTGCTCCAGCAGTATACGTGGACAGCAGAGGAGCAGCGGCGTACGTGGTCGGCGTAATGTAGATGGATGGGAGAGCGTAGCTCACTGATCGTTTCTTGATGAGATGTAAAGCATTTGTGTAAGTCAACGGAGCGGGGGCCACATAAGCAGAGTGGACTATAGGTGATGTGTAACCCGGGGTCAGATACCGAGTAGCGGCGATGTATGTAGAAGGCGCGTAGTAGCTCGTTGCGAGAGTCAGAGGGGCGGAGCGTTTCTTGATGAAGTGTGTGTATGTCAAGGGGATGGAGTAGTGGTAGGGCGAGGGATGCACGACGCTGCTGGCCTGCTTGGTGATAGTGGTAGTGGCAGGTGCCACGACAGACGAGTATGTGATTGGCGCAATAACCGGTGTTGCCAATAATACCCCAGGCTCGGCAACCACAGCGGCTACGACAGCGCACAACACCACCAGCTTCAACATTGTGGTCTGTGTTGTTGAGGAACGACTGATACCTTAATGATGCGCTACGACGTATTTATAGAAAGTAATACTGAAAGCTAAGGGCGATCTCGTTTTACAAACCAATGCAAGGCGATCGTGCAGGAAGTTGGTATTTACACGGATCAAGGCCGTCGAGAGCTCCGTGTAGTCCGAGCGTAATCGTCGTGAATGTCACACAAAGCCTCGGGTAAATTATGCAAATAAATCAATAAGAAATGCAATCGGCTTATTGTTTAATTTAATTAAACTTTACCTACTTATTTAATACATTTACCGATGGGTAATGTGAACACAATCTCGTTGTCAATAATGTATGAGCTTTCGATGTCATGAACATCAGGCGTATGATATATCTATACGCAGTTTACGTCTAAGTAAAATTGATTATTAAAATACCCTAGTGAATGTCGTGAACAGTTGAATGACTGTGCTGGTCGCGCTTTAATTTAGTAACTTCTAGATTATTTGAGATCTTTCAACCTAGGAAAAACTACAAAATTATGAATTTCTTTTCAGCTGTTTAATAAAATATATATGTAATTTAAGAACTCACAATAACAAGTGTATGTGATAAAAATAAGAACCAATTGCAGCTAACAATAAAAGTACATGAATTACTTGTTGAAGCCGAGACACGATCCATATTTGCTGCTGACATTTGCGATACACTAAACTATGACGATCTATATGTACTTCATTAAATCGTTGTCCTGTGTGCCAAGGAAGAAATAAAGTACACGGCAAATTAACTTTCATTTTGCTCAGCAAATATAGTCCCTTCAAGGTCAACCGTGCCTTCCGGCAACACCCATCATGAATGTTAATCATTATGCAACTATAGTATAAAAACCGATTGTTGTAGTGTAGATGCATCAGTGTTTCTTAGTTACGAGCCCAACACAGACCACAATCAAAATGATGAAGTTGGTGGTGTTGTCTTGCCTTCTAGCTGCTGTGTCTGGATCTTCCCTGATCGGGTACGCAGCTCCCTACGCATACAGCGGATACGCAGCGCCCTTGGCTTACAGCGCGCCGTTGCTCGCACCGTACAACTACCGTGGCCCTCTGTCGCTAGCTCCCGGACAGCCTGCCAACATCTTGGCTGCTGACGGCAGGCCCCTGGACACGCTTGATGTGAACATAGACCGCTCGGCGCACTTCACCGCCAAGGCACTCAGTGGTGCCCACTTGCTCAAAAAGCGCTCCGTGGCACTGGCGGCTGCTCCACTCATCAGCCGTGTTGCATACACTGCACCGATCGCCTACACCGCTCCCCTGGCCTACTCAGCGCCCATCGCTGCCTACACCAGGATCGCCGCTCCCTACACGTACGCCGCGCCCTACGCACACTACTACTGAACTAACCTTCATATCGCACATAATATACATGCTGAAAATAAAATTACTTGCTAGTGAAGAGACCAATTGTGTGTGATTTACCCTTGTCTCGTAGGAAATGAAACTATTTTTTGGATCTAAATCGCGTATATTTGTTTTTTCGAACAAACCAACGAACGTTTCGAGCCCTTTACGAGGCCTGTGATCACTGCTGACTGACCTCCTCCTTGACCTTGACCTCATCCTTATCTCTCCGTTTCATACCTCCACCAACAACACGTACCTACCTATAAAATACTTCCATCGGTAAATGATCGTAAAGAAAAAAAGAGTTTTGTTAATTTTCGCTTTTGAATCGACGAGTAGTACGTCATGGCTTTATCAAACCATTAAAATGTTGAGACCAGCAAATGAGGTAAAGAACTCTGAAGTTCTATAAGTTGGAAAACACAGAAAGGCATAATCCACTAAGTTCGCAACCAGAAGAACGTCTTAGGCAGCCTTTTGGTGCTTTTGGCCTTTAATTCACAGTGTGGCATTCCATTTACCTAATCATACAAAAAGAATTGAAAACATAAAATATCCATGTAGTAAACAGGGACGTGAACTCAGGTTTTTAGTACTACCTACTACATATAGTACTAGGTACACTGAAACACTGAAATTACGACACCTTTACCAAATGGTAAAAATAAAACTTTAATAGATTCCTTGTGTTCGCACATATATCTCGTCAATCCCTATCTACTACACCATATCCATCACAATATGTAGAGGAAGAGCCAAATAACCCCACACTAACATTTTACCAATGTTTTATTTGTGTGTGGGTCGAAACCATAAAGACCTGTTTGTACGTAGGTGGGCAATATGAAGCGATAGCAACTTTTGTTCTATTAATGAGGGCAAATAAAACTACTGTATCTAAAATTATGTCTACGTTAATTTCACTTTTTTTGTAATTTATGTACAATAAACTGTCGTCTTTAAAGTTAAATTAGAGGTAGTGTACGCAGTACAGGTGGTGTTAGTTGATTGTTGTTGATTAAATGACTAAGTGTGTATAATTTACAAGGTGTGTATCATGGATATTAGAGGGGCCAATATATAGATATTGTTTGTAACAAGAGTTTTTTTTTCTATATATCATTATTTGATTTTTAATTCGGGACTTAATCACATATAAAACATATTTTATTTACCACGACGTTTTGGACATAATGCAACTATGTCTATGGTCTGGAAGAAACAGAAGGGATTTCTATATATTGTTCTAAGAAATATACCGTAAACATAGGAGACAATGGGTCGAATAAGCCATGGGACCAGTGTAACACCACGAGGGAAGCAATTGTGAAACCCCACAGAGTTCTTAAAAAGGTTAGGGCAAGAACGGCCTGCCGTTGGCGGCCAAGTTGATATCAAGTTATTGAGGCACCAGCGCTAGCGAATAATCTGTAATATGATTTGTGTTGAAATCCCTACTGAGGAACATTACTGTAGCAATATCACAATTGTCTGTTATTAGGGACTCTTGCAGAACCATCTATCTACCTACCTACGTCTTGTCATATGAAATTGAATAGACTGGCACTACTGGAAGACACCGTCACATTGAAAATGCGAAACTTCAACGAGATAACAAAAATGTCTCACTTATTTTGTTCACTGTACACGTACAAGGTAAATCAATGAGGCACCACTATCATAAGTTACCTGTTCTATTTACACTTACCTAATTTAATTGTATTGTTGTTTACTTGTGCCATAAAGAATATTATATCTTGTATTCTTTTGCTAACGTATTTCAAGTGCGTGTAAAAAATTTAAATTCGTAGATATTATTAACACATAATTCTATTTCTACTCTACGCCGTGAGGTGTATACGTTATAACTAATATAAGCAACCTTACCTCAGTCAACCGTGACCATGGGACCTGTAAAGGGCCCGAAACGTCGGTTTCTTTGAAAAAACAAATATACGCGATTTAAATCCGGAAAAATAGTTTCATTTCCCAATATAAGCAAGTTTAAATAATAAAAGGCCACATATAGGTAACTCTCTTTATAATATTTTATAGGCATATTTTTGAATTATATTCTAAATTTTATTTACATTTTTACCACCAATGACCATAGGCAGCGGCATGGCCGAAGCCTAATCCGAGGGGAGCAACTGGGGCGCGCCAACCGAGTCCAAGGGGCGCTGCGAGAGGAGCGCCCAATGGAGCAACCAGGGGCGCAGCCACAGCGGGGGCGATCAGGCGGGCAGCAGGTAGGTCAAAACGGGCGGTGTGTGACCATGCGGCGGCGGGCGCTAGCAGGGGAGCGGAACGCTTCTTAAGAACGTGCAAACCGTGACCGTCGACGGCTCTCGCGGTGTAGTGAGCAGCGCGGTCCAAGTTCACACTGAGAGTGTCAAGAGGCCTGCCGTCAGCAGCCAAAATATTGGCGGGCTGACCTGGAGCGAGCGACAGAGGTCCGCGGTAGTTGTAAGCTGCTAGTGCGGGCGCACCCCAGGCAACGGGCGCCGCAGCGAGTGGGGCGGCAATACCTAAATGCGCACCAGCCCAGCCAAGACCCAAGCCCCACGGAGCTATAGCGCTGGAGGCCGCCATGGCCAACACGGAGGACAACACCACCAGCTTAAACATTGTGGTCTGTGTTGTTTTCAGCTCAAAGGGTAACTGTTGATTTTACTCTACCGGCATTAGCTTTTATATCTGTTCACTTTGTAGGCGTATTCCAGATACCTATGTAATGTTAGCAAATATGCAATAGGGCGTTGGCTACGAATCAGTCGCGGAAAGAAAAGCTGCAGGGGCGCACTCTGTCTCCGCGTGCCTCTACGGTGCGCGGCGAGCCGGCATCCATTATCGACTCTAAGTCGCTTAGGATTAATTTCAAAACAATTTTAAACGGAAACGAAATAGTATTGCTTTCGTGTTTACCTTGAATGTCAGATAAAGGGCCGTTCACTTTATAACTGAATATATAGAATAGATGGTCAAATAAGTAACTTTTATTACATCATCTATGACACTGCCCCTTTGTCTTTCATTTCATACTTAGTTATATCACGTAAGAAATACTGAAATTGCAGCACCTATACATACAAAACTAAAGAGAGTACGAAAGAAAAGTAAGTCTAGGTTATTTCTATATAATTCCAATCCAATTAATAAATAACTAAAACAAACTTCAATAAAGTAAACAACCTTTGTTCTACCATTTTCAGAAAGTCACACTTTTTTACTTCGCTCTCTAATCTATAGAGCACTCATTGTGAGTTTTGTGTATGGAATTTTTTTTTAAAGTCATAGAACAAAAGTTCTTGTTTTAATCACAGGAATGCTGTAAACTACGTGTTAATCATATGACGCTGTGCTAAAATGATAATTAAAGTTTAATTCAAACAACGAATTCTATTAGGTTTTCGCAGTTGCTGTAGGAAATGAAAATGAAACTATGCAGTTTTCGGATTTAATAGGTATAGCGTATATTTATTTTAACTAACCACGAGATCTTATATTAGATATAAAAATGTATTTACTTCTCAAATTTGATACATATCTTAGATGCTCTCCCATTAAGCAAATTTATGCTTGTATTGGGAAAGCCTCGCAACTTCCCTGAGCTTACGTTGACACAAAGGTTAGTGTGGCACAAATACTAATATTATAACGTACCTTACTATTAAGGTACTTTCATAATAAATATATTTAAACAGTTTAAACATCTACGTGTTGTCCTTAGCGAATAGCTCGCTGACAGCCTTGTTGCCGTTCCGTCATTGTGACAGTCAATATGCGGGGCTCGGTGCGGTATCTGAAACTAGGGAGGGGCGGAGTGTCACCATTGTCTTTTTTGTTACCTGCTTTGATAAAAGGTCAGTTATCTACTGCATTTTTTTTACATGACACCATTAGAATTACATTAAAATCCAAGTTCGATTTCCAAGGTCAGTACTTTCTGCCCTATAATACAGTAACACCATTTTCAGAAATCCGGAATTCAAACAAGTAGTTAATTGAAATTTCGTCGTTTTAATAACTCTATGTCGCGTCTTGTAGCTATATCTGTACATGTATGTGGAATACATTTTTCAGACCATTGGTAATCACACAATTCCCTTCATGATAATGTATTATTCTTGTTAAGAAATAAATAAGTTGTACAATATGTAAAAATTCGCATGCATACGCATACCAACATAATGGTACACTCAAGAGCACATCAAGATTTTTGTTCGAATATTTTCGCCAGTGCAACTGAACAATATCCATCAATGAGTACCTTCATGTGCTGCCATCTGTACATTAATCCGTAACGATCTACAACTGTAGAGATATCACAGATGTCTGAAAGTACCTGGGTTCTCTAAAAATAGAAATAGAACCATTTATTGCAACGCCACGTTATAAAAAAGACACAAAATAGTAATATATAATAAATAATAATAATAATAAAATAATATATAAAATAGTAATAATAAAAACAAAAATAACACATAATACTATACTTACATGTGTGGGGCTGTGGCTTACGGCAAATGTATCTCATTCATCTAAAGTCACAGCGGAGAATAGGCTGCACCGCTAATAGTTCAAAAGACCCTAAATACTCGATGAACAATCTCAAACCTTTTTTTAATTTGAAAAAAATAACGCATACATATACACACTTTACGTCTTTTCCCACCAGGGTAAGCAGATTGACATCAGGGTAGACAGGACCATAGCCTTCCACGTGCTACAATCCCAATACTTTTGCGTCATCAACACGCGTCAATGTTATCGTAGACACTCGTCGGTCAAGGATACTTTGACCTAGCCTTTCTTTAGGAAGTCCTCAATTTATAAAATAATATACGCTTAATTTAAAAAAAATCATTTATCGCTTATGGAGTCACAAAACAACACTTCATATAATTTTGAAATCGTTTATTTAGTTTGACATAACTGTATGGACCGTCACAATTATACCACAGATCACATACGTATTAGCCTATGGTGTTAACCTAAAAAAATAAACCAATTCTATAAGCTAACAAACAATCTTGTAAGATTTACGTGAAGAGTTACATATATGTATGTAACGTTTTCAATCGTATAGAATTATTAAAACTTATTCACATGGTTAGGAAAAAATAATCAATTTCATGATATTAGATTATTACACGATAACTGTGGGCGCGGAATAAGTGAGAGGAACGACAGGGGCGGTGTGGACCACTGGGGTGTGCACTACAGGAATCACTGCAGGTGTGTGAACCACGCTGCTAGAGTAGGCAGTGACAGCAGGGGCCACGCGAGACACGGGTACCACAGGAGCGACGTGGGCAATTTGGACTGGAGCAACCACAGGAGAGCTTACAAGGAAATTCGGCTTGGCAGCTGCCATGGCTAGCACGACGACAAAAACTACCTATAAAAAAACGACATTGATAAACCAGACTAATATTATATAAATACAAAAGTAACTCTGTCTGTTACCTAAACCGCTAAACCAATTTTGATAAATATGGTATAAAGATAGATGGGACCGAGAAGAAGGACATAGACTACTCAGTAGGGAATGAAAGTTTGTATGGAGAACCAATAAAACTATGAAAATTAGTATAGTACAGTTTTTTTTATATGATTAACGTTGCTTCTCGTAATATGAAACTGTTTACAACGTCTTTGTTCAATATTTGAAAAGAAAGTTAAAATCACACATTAACTGTAACCTTATCCAGTCTTATTATCTTTTAACCTACTGCTAAAGCAATTTCAATGTATGAAAGGGTTAACGAACTGGATTAAAAATGGGCGAATATTTTCTTACAAAAGTTAGGAACACAATAATGCGTTTGCGGTTCATAAAAAACGGAGTCTGGCTTTTTACCATGATTGTATTTTTACTTAAAAGAACGATCGTAAAAGGTGCAGTTAAAGGATGTGCGGGTCGGTCAATGAACCTACTGTAATTAAAGCCTCTGCAATATCTCTCTTTTCTCTCTAAAGTTTTCATGTTTTAATAATACAAAATTAACTCGGATGTAGACGTCTAAATAATTATTTCTATTAACATAAAATTATTAAAATTGTTAAATAATGGCATAAAAATAATAGGTACATACCAACTTGTACATTTTCTCTAAAGGTTTATTTGTCACTTCTAACAAAAGTATCAATTACCTCTGGATATTTCTATAGGACTGAAGATGTGTCTTAAACAGTCTACTTTTTATAATATACGTCAGGAACAATACTTGCCAAACCTGATCAAACGATAATAAAAAAAACTTAAACAGGTTGTCGAATTGACAAGATAATTTATACTATTATTCACTCGTATGTAGTAAAAATGACAAGAGTAATTAATGAACTATAATATCACTATAATTATTAATAAATTAATGAAACAGCCGAACCTTTAGCAGTTTTACATTACAGATTTTATAAACATTACGATTTTTTTCTACAATACCAAGTGACGGGATAGACGGTGTTATGGATAGGCGGTTCGCTTACCACACTTGTTCGTACCGTCCCTAATATCTTAAAACAAATCTATATCGGAGGACGAATCCTTTGAAAACAAATATTTATTATTGTTGAATAATAAAATGTTTATTTTATCCGTTTCTAAGAACAATGGTTTCTCTCTTTTAATTTTTTGGAAATATAATAATCAGATATAAATATAAAAGGCGAAAACGGTATACTGTTCCTGAAAAATTACAATTATTTATGAATTCTATGGGTATACAAAAAGCAATCTCGTAAAGATCACTGACCCGGGTACTGGATGTGTGCGTACAAAAACCACATTAGTTTTAAATCATGCCGTTGTAAACAATTTTTTTATTTTATGTAAAAAAAAATGTTGAAATCTATGGCGTTAACAGGGCAGTAAAGATTTAATATTGAACATATTTTTAATTGTATGAAACCCTAATTAGGTTATTGTCATACTTTCTGTCAAAATAAATATCGCTATTCTTGTGTGTGAACCCTGCTCGATCACTTGTAGTAGTAATCGAAACCGAAACCGTTCTCTGGGTGATCAATAATAAATAAATACACACACACACACACACACACACACACACACACACACACACACACAC